AAGTTATATACTAATATTTTTGTGTTCAGTAAAATGAAAAATTTAATCAATCGTAAGTGGTGATATGGAAAATTAATATTTATTACTCCATCTGTTTTTTATATATGTCATTTGAAGTTTTTGAACACAAATTAAATAGAATAACAAATATACTAAATTTTAATAAAAATAGAGGTAAAAAAACTATATTGTCATTTTTGTAAAGACTAGTTTTTTGTATGACGTGCGTTGCACGTTAATTATACTTGTTATATATTCATTTTTTATCTATATAAATAGTAAATCATAAATTTTGTTTATATTCAAATAAATATAAGTGGTTAATTTATATTATATTTTATCATACAAAATACTTGCAATGTTACTTATTATATACTTAATTTTATTTTTATATAATAAAGTAATCTTAGAATAAAGTTCAACCCAATTCTTAGACTTGATCCTTTAGTCCGTACTTTATAAATGCAGATTTTTAAAACTCTAATAAGTGCTTAGAAAGAAATTCAAGTCATCACTCAATCTTCAACCCTCTGTCCTTAGCCCTGAATCAATATCTATATACAACTATAATGAATAATAAATAATAAATTATTTTTACTGCTGAAAGAAATGAGAAGATGAATTTATAATGAAAATCACTTTGACTACAGTGATAGTATTACTTACCCAGTGAATCAGAAAAATGAATATATGCACATACATACAAATTTTTGAAACCAAAAAGTGACCCAAATATAAATATATAGTTCTAGTTTTTTTTTTCTTGTTTTCTAAGTACTATTTTCTTTTAAATCAAACAGATTTAGGATATAAGAGAAAAAATATTAAGAAAATTAAAAATGCTTAACAATCAATAGGTCATTTATTTATTGCAAGAAATATATAAATCTCTTACTAAATTAAAATAATAGTAGTTACAAACTATTTAGTAACGAAAAAAATAAAAAATTATTATTAAAAATAAAATTTTTTCAAAATTCACCTAACAAAAAAAAAACATTTCAATGTATATAGATATATAAATATATCAATTAAAAAATATATATTTTTAAATTAAAATTTTAATTGTGAATATAATATATCAAATTAAAAAATATATATTTTTAAATTAAAATTTTAATTGTTACATTCCCATGTTTACATTATGGTAAATTCTATTTAAAATTTACTTTTTAAAAAATATATCCAATTCATATCATACAAACATAAAGACCAAAAATATTAATAAAAACATAGATATATTTTTTTTCTTGCTTTCTTTTTATCTCTCTCCTAAATGAAAATATTAGATATATTTTATTTGAAAATTTATTTTAAAAATATATCCAATCATATACATACAAACATAAAGAAAAAAAGTATATTTTCTTTCTTTTTTTATCTATATCGCTAAAAGAATTAAATATTTTAAATAAATATAAAAAATTTTCAAAATAGCTCATTATACATATCTGCTACTCATTAAAAATAAAATTTGAGCAAATATAAAATTTAAAATTTTAAAATTTTTAAAATTATATATTTGTATAATTATAAAATTATTTTTTTTCGAAATTATGAAGGTTCTGAATGGGCCGAAATAATACTCGGACTTACACAACAATCAAATTTGTTTAACTCATCCTAACAAACAAAAAAAAAAAAACGTTTCAAGTATATAGATATATAAATATATCAACATAATATTATTTTTTTAAATTAAAACTTTCAACTGTTTACCATCCTAAATTTAATTATGTAAATTCTATTTGAAAATTTACTTTTTAAAAAAATATATCCAATTCAAATCTTACAAACAAAAAGAACAAAAATATTAATAAAAACAATATACCTTTTCTTCTTTTTTATCTGCCTCATAAATAAAATATTATATATATTCTATTTGAAAATTTATTTTTATTTTTTAAATATCCGATTAAACATAAAGAAAAAAAGAATATATTTTCTTTCTTTTTTAATATTCCCTAAAAGAATTAAAATATAAAAATAAATATAAAAAATGTTTCAAATAATCATTATAAATATATTCATTTAAAAAATGAAATTTTAGTAAAGATAAAAATTTAAAGGTTTAAATGTTTATTATGTATATGTATTTATTTAAAAATTAACTTTGTTTTTTATTCCAATTAGGAGGTCTGATTGGGACTGAAATAACGGGCTAAAAAAGAATATATTTTCTTTCTTTTTTATATATTCCCTAAAAGAATTAAATATAATAAATAAAATATAAAAAATTTTCAAATAATCATTATAATATATTCATTAAAAAAATAAATTTAGTAAAGATAAAATTTAAAGTTTAAATGTTTAATTATTTATATGTATTTATTTAAAAATTAACTTTTTTTTATTCATTAGGAGGTCTGATGGGCTGAAATAACGGGCTACACAATAATCAAATTGGTGAAAATACTTGTGGTCGAAAGCAATCGAACTCGAGACCTCTCACTCTTCAGGTAAGTGAGAAGATAATCAGATCGTACATGATTGGCTTAAAAAATAATTTTTATAAATTATATCTAATCAACTAATAAACTGTAATTTTTTAAGTGGCCATCATTAAGAGCATTTTAGAATATTTTAAATTTCATTAAAGATGATATAAGAAATCTTATCATTCCCTCCTATTTTCACATTTATATATAGTATAGATAGATAGTAATTCATGTGGTTTAAGTAAATCTAAGATAGAGTTTAAGTTTAAGATGGATTATTAATATTATTAGTGATAGAATGGTAAATGAAGAAAGAAAATATTTAATGAAGCATTGAAAATAAAATGTCACTTATTTAAAAAAAAAAAAAAACCTAAAATGACAGATACTTCCGTTCTTTTCATATAGGAACAACTAATTTTTCACCAAGATTAAGAAAGTAGTTTAACCAATTTTTTTTTACCATTTTTTTCTTAATTTACCCCTAATGTCTCATTTATTTCTCTTCTAATATCAATATATGTTTTAAATTATATTTCAATCTTCAATGAGACTTTAAATGTTTTATTGGAATGAAGAGAATAAAGACGATTGTAAAAAATAAAGTTTATATGGTCTAAGTTGTGGAGGGAAATTCATTTTTTGGTCTTTTATTTAGGAAAGTTGCGTGAAATATGAAAATTTATTCTCATTTAACCTTCGAACTACCTTTGGTTATTGAAGACGTACTTTAAATATCACGCAATTTTTCAAATATTCGAGTGAAGTTTGTAGGGATTCTTTTCTTATGGTCAACCTAAAATTTTTATAGCCATTTTCTATTCATACTCCATTTTAATCAGCACTCAAATCACCTATATGAACACTTTTTTTTTCAACGAAAATTGATGTAAAAAATCAATTTTCCAAGATTTCTTCACCTTAAATATTCATTTATACTTTTGTCTGCCACTATCTTAAGAATCTCTTATACTAAAAACTTCACAAAGAGCAAAAATAAAGGTAAGATAGATTTTTTATATTGGCATGGTTCCTTAAATTACTAAATTAGGTAAAATTTTCTATATAAAAAGAACACTCAAAATAGAAACTTTTCCTGTATAAAAAGAATAAAGGGAGTATTAAAAAGCAGAGAGTATTTATTTTGACAATTTTGCCCCACATTAATATTTCTATTAGAAAAAAGTAATGGCATTTAGGAGGCTAATATCTTGATGATTTCCAAAAGATTTATTAGTTACTATCCTTCTCTTTCTTCTCTAACCATCTCTCCATTGTAATCTTCTACTACGCACTCTCGTTGTTTTCCAAGTATTTTTTTTTTCTTTTTTTGAAAACATAAATTTACCTTTGTATTTTCAAAAAAAAAAATTTGTACATCCTCAATTTTCAATTTTACCTATTAAATATTTTAACTTATAAAATTGTATCTATTTAGTATTTTAATTAACTTATTAAATACCTAAACTTATAAAATTAGATCAACTAAACACTTATTTGATAGTAAAAGACTGTGAAAATTATTATTAAAAAAATTATATTAACCACATATCAAATTAATATTTCGCATATAAAACTAAAAGACTTAATAATTATTGTTGCCATTAACATGATGAGGTGTGAAACTGCTATAAAAAAATGAAGTTTAGGATGGTTCTCAATATTTTTTTTTTTTTTTTGTTAAAAGTTTTAGGGTTTAAATTTTGTGTTTGGTCAATTGTTTTAAAGAATTTTTCATTTTTGTCGTCTCATTAAGCTTCCAATAAGCTACTGGGGAAACGAAGAGTTGTTTTTCTTGTTTTATGTGTTAGTTTTAATATTGAATTAATGTTTAAGTGTTTATAGGAAATAGTGCAAGTAACCAAACAGTCTAACGTAAGTGAACAGTCGAATGGCTATTATATATGTAGGATGGTTTCATTGTCACCATGTTCGATTTTGGTTTATAATAATTTTTCTCCTAACTAAAATTCACTCTCTTCTTTGCAAATAATCTAGAAAAAGAAAAGGTCTGAAGCACAGAGATGAAGAAATCCAAATTCAAAAATTTGCCTGAGGAAATAATAATAGAAGAAATCTTGTGGAGGCTGCCGATAAAGACCATATTAAGGTGCACCAGTGTATGCAAGTCATGGTACTCTCTTATCAAGAACCCTAATTTCATTTCTACTCACCTTCATAGAGCCCTTTCCTTGAAAAATAACCCATTATTTTTGCATCGTATAAGTAACTATCCTGATACTGAATACAAATTGCATTTTGATGATAAAGATATCAGTGAATACATGCCACTCAATCACCCATTCGACTGCGAGAATAAATTTGCTGTTGCTGGTTCTTGCAATGGTCTAATTTGCCTTTTTGGTGTGGATCCTGCATTTCGAGATAAAAATGGGTGTAGATTTATCCTTTGGAACCCTTCAATTAGAAAATACATATTCTTGCCTTTACCCCTATCGAGTTTCAGTTATGAAAGATCTCTTGGGTTTGGATTTGATTCTAAAACCCATGATTATAAAGTGTTGAGAATTTTTAATTTTACGACTGAACTTTATTCACTCAATGCGAATTGTTGGAAGAATATCACTGACATTACTCCCAAGTTTCATCGCTACATACAGATGTCCAGGTGTTTTGAATAGTGCACTGCATTGGATTGCTTATAGAAGGAAAAATAATACTAATACTGAATGTTTTATCATGGTGTTTGACTTAAGAGATGAGGTCTTTGGTGAGATAATGTTGCCTCAATGTTTGGTGAATTCTTGGTATTTGAACCTTCATGTTCATGTATTTGGGGAATCATCAATTGCTGTTATTCATCAAAAATATAAAAAGCCAGATATATGGGTGATGAAAGAGTATGGTGTAGTGGCATCGTGGGTGATGATAGGAACTGTGGGTAAATGTTGGAGAGGGGACTCGAGGGTGTTGGGTTTTAGGAGTAATGGAGACGTGTTTTTGCAATTTTATCGAGGAGGGGTAGCTTCCCAGAACATAGAGAGCAAAAGGCTTAAAAATCTCATTCCTACAGTGAAGTACAGTTACTCTTCTTTTTATAGCTACATGGAGAGCTTAGTATTGCTTGATAAAGGCTCTGACGTAAGAGCAAGTGGTACAAGCAGTCCAAATGAGGCAAAACGAGTTTAAATATCCAACTGATGCAGGTTCTTGGATTAGAAGGTAATCAAGGAATGGAGGATACAAGTAGAGTACTCCATTATTTCAATTAGCTTTTGATTTTTTTTTTTTCTTTTTGTTTATTTACTTATCTCCTTGTTATATATCCCCTTTATTCTATAATTCGTATCATGATTTGACTTATGCATAAATTAAGAAAATTTAGTTATTAATGTAGGTAAATTATAATTTTTGCTTTTTTTCTAATTTATATTATATTAATATCCATAAAAAATAAATGATCAATATTAAATTGTTCTTGAAATTAATCAATTTAACTAAATAAAGTTTTATTGGAGGATTAGAAGTTCATACCGTGTTAATTTTATTTATATTAAAATTTAATTAATGTCATTGTAGTAGTTTGACTATTATATTTGTTAATAAAAAAACATATTCAATAAGGTGGAAAAAATAAACTTCAAATATTATTTCCTCTTGAAAAGGAAGCAGAACAACAATTTAGAAGGGATACAAAAGAAATTTAGCACCAAAAAATTATGGGTTGGAGGGGCATAATATAAGAAGTGAACTATTTTAATTCTAATTTATGGTGAAATAATGCATGTCAAGTATTATTGAATTAAACGTATTATGTGTTAGCTTTAATATTGAATTAATGTTTAAGTATTTATATTAAATTAGAAGACTGGAAGTAACCGGAGATTCTAATGCATGTCAAGTAGTTTTGTGTGTCTTCATCATCAAAGTTTATAATAACTTTTCTCCTTCCAACATAAAATCGCTCGCTCTCTTCATTGCAAATAATCCAGAGTTCCGAAGCAAAGAGATGAAGATATTGAAAAATTTGCCAGAGGAATTAATTGAAGAAATTTTGTGCAGGCTGCCCATCACGACAATATTACGATGCACCAGTGTATGCAAGTCATGGTACTCTGTTATCAAAAACCCTAATTTCTTTTCTGCTCAACTTAATAAAGCCCTTTCCTTAAAAAATAACCGATTATTTATTCATCGTGTCGATGACTTTCTTAACAAATACAAATTGCATTTTGACAATAAAGATTTTATTAAGTACATGCCACTCAATCTCCAATTCGACTCCAAGGTCGAGTTTTTTGTTGCTGGTTCTTGCAATGGTCTAATTTGCCTCTTTGGTTGGGATTTTGAATTTTCTAAATATGGGAACAGAATTATCCTTTGGAACCCTTCAATTTGTATAGACCTATTACTGCCCTCCTCTCGTTTTCTCTCTTCGAGTTTCGGTCGGGAAGATTTTATTGGGTTTGGATTTGACTCTAAAAGCCATGATTATAAAGTGTTAATAATGTTAAAAAATAACACTTCAAGGGGGATTGAGTTTATGACTGAACTTTACTCACTCAATGCGAATTCTTGGAAGAATATCACTGACATTGCTCCCAAGTTTTACGGTTCGATGTCACGTAAAAGTTATTCAGGTTTTGTGAATGGTGCATTGCATTGGATTGCTTGTAAAAGGAAAAACAATATTGAGTTTGAAAATTTTATCATGGCGTTTGATTGAAGATATGAGGTCTTTCGAGAGATAATGCTTCCCGAATGCTTGGTGAATTCTTCAGCTCTGGATGTTGCCTCATTTGGGGAATCATCAATTGCTGTTATTCGTCAATTATACGATAAGAAGTCGGATATATGGGTGATGAAAAAGTATGGTGAAGTGGCATCATGGCTGATGTTGGGAACCATGGGCAAATGCTGGAGAGGAAAGTCAAGGGTGTTGGGTTTCAGGAGTGAAGGGGATGTGTTTTTGCACTTTCATCGTGGAGGCATAGCTTCACGGAACGTAGAGAGCCAGAGGGTTGAAAATCTAATTCCAACAGAAAAACATTGTATATATATCTTCTATTTAAAGCTATATGGAGAGCTTAGCTTCGCTTGACAAAGGAGGCCCTGATGCCAGGGCAGCTGTTACAAGCTCTCCAAATGATGAAAAGCGAATTAAAATATCCAACTGATGCACTTTCTTGATTAGACAGTCACAAGGAATGGAAGAATTTCAATATCTAAAAGGGAAAATTATAAATAAAACATAGGAGAGAGAATTTTGAGACAAATATGAACCAAAATATTTAATGAAGATAATTTTTCACTATATAGAGAAAAATGCAATTGAGGAACAAAGAGAAAGAGTAATTAAGAAAGCAACGTAAATGTTAAGTTCGAATTTAGCTCAAGTAAGCTTAAATTAAATATTATATATTTATATGTATGAAAATCGATAAAGCTCGAAAGAGCTTTGAAATTAAATATCGTTAGGTTCGAGCTCGACTCGTTTACTAAACAAACAGGCTCGAGCTTGATTGAATCTAAACTTTTCGAACCTGTTCGAGCTGAATTGAAAAAGTTTGCGAGCTGGCTTAGCTCTTTTATGCCTTTACTTACAATCGCGAAAATCCTCCTGTAGAAGATTATCTCTAATAGGATTGAGATTTACTCGCTTAATGTGATGCCTTGGAAGAATATCGCTGACATTACTTCCAAGCACGGAGCATATGACCATGTTGTTCCAGCTCTTGTGAATGGTGAATTGCATTTGAATTTGACTGATTGAAAATTTTTTTCTCTTAGCTTTGGGTAAATATGGGGTCTGAACTTTGTAGTTATGTTGAGAACTTAGAATTGTTGACAAGAGGTAAAATTTGTCCAGTGGATGCAAACTAATCTAGAACATGCAAGTGAGCCACTTTCTGTATAAGAAAGCAATCCAAGATTGGAGTTGCTTAAGCACATCCAACTTTTCCTTTAGATATGAATATGTTTTTTCTACATATGAACGTAATGGTTCAAACTTCAAAGTTATATATATATAGCACATCCAACTTTTCCTTTAATATGAATATGCTTTTTCTACATATGAACGTAGATGGTTTCAAACTTTCAAAGTATATAATATATATATTATATAATATATATAATAGTTTCCAAGTAATGGTGTTACTTTTTTTACAATGTGTAATTGTGTTTGCTTAGGTCATTTAAGATTATGAAGCCTTTTTGTCTTAGTATGACATATATTATGTCATAAGACTAGGATCATTAAATATTCAACCGAGCAATCTGAAACTTTTGTTGAATAATCTCACTTGCTAGATCTTTATACCTCAATAGTTAAGAATGATTCAATAAGATAACTATTGAAATTATCAATTTTGAGTTGTTTATGTTGTTTGGTGAATTTTGAACATCCATAAGGTAAATATATAAATTTCAACTATTGTACAGAATTAAAATTTTCTTTAACTGTAAAGAAATGTATATCTACCATTAGATTTAACACTTTAAATATAAACCATAGATATAAAAATATTTAAATGACTTTCTACTTTTGAAATAAGTTATATTCATTTGTTATTATTGTTTTTGAGATTTAAAGAGATATCAATACATTATATCAATTACTTTTTTTAATGAACAAACGAAGAATAAATTTATAGAAACCAATTGAAATTTTCAATATCCATATATAACTTTTTATTGTGCATTTATTTAAATATTAGATTTTTTTTAGAAGCATTTAAATATTAATTTTATGCCCATCTAATAAAAATTTTAATTAATTAAACCATTTAAAATAGCTCAAAATATCAATTCTTAATTCGAAACTAATTTTACTTTCAATTCAGAAAAGAATTCTAAAATTTCATTTATCAACTTTCTAAATCTCTCTTTATATATACATATTTCTATTTCTATTTTTGTTTAATCTATACATTTTGTTAAAGTCCTAATTTTGTCATTTCAAAAAAAAAAAAAACTCCTAATTTTATGGTATTTACAACTAATTTTTCAATCATATAATTTGAAGTGAAATTGGTTGTTATGTTTTTGTACGTTGTTATATAATTATAGAGTATTTCATAATCTCATTTTTAATATTGTATATTAAGAGGTATTTCATAATCTCACTTTTTAATATTGTATATAATTAATTTTCAATTAAGAATAAATTTCAGAATTATATATTCAGTCAAAAAAAAAAAAATGAAGTGAAATTGGTTGTTATGTTTTTGTACGTTGTTATATAATTATAGAGTATTTCATAATCTCATTTTTAATATTGTATATAATTTAATTTTAATAAAGAATAAATTCAGAATTATATTTCAGTCAAAAAAAAAACATTTAGAATATATAAACAGTCTTAAAGATAAATAAAAGGAAAAATAATAATATATTTTGTTTGGAAAAAAAAGAGAAAAAAAATAAAAGACTATTTAATTGCTATTGTAATAATACAAATTGATATATTGAGGTCTCAATTAACTAGAATTCTGTATCTATGCAAAACTTTTTAACCTATGTACAACTCCTCCTAAATATGAATTTTGATAACCACATGGGTCCAACTTTTAAGATATTCCTCTCGCAACCCTTAATTTATGAATTTGGTTTTTAGCCGCTAGGGTTAGGTATGTAATAAGGAAAACATGATGCGCTGAAGTCATCCGTTCTATTCATGCGAGAGATAGAACTGAAACAAAACGAAAGATCAGAGACAACCCAATCCCAATAAACTCTGAATCAAGAAAATGATAATTTGGGATGATTTACCTGAGGAAGTGATTGCAGAGATCTTCTGCAGACTTCCAATCAAATCCTTATTACAATGCACAAGTGTCTGCAAGTTATGGTACTCTCTTATCAAAAACCCTAAAGTTCGTATCTACTCACCTTCATAAAACCCTTTCTACAATCGATAACCGATTGTTTTTGCAACGCTGTGACCGTAAGTACACCTTATGTTTTGACAATTTGGGAGAGTACATGCCACTGAATCCCCCGTCCGACCCTGATGAACTGTTTCATGTGGCGGGTTCTTGCAATGGCCTAATCTGCCTCTTTCGTGATGACTTTTCATCTTGCAGGTATGGATATAGACTTATTTTCTGGAACCCTTCCATTAAAAAATAAAAATTGCTTCCCTTACCCCATTTTATTTTCGCGAATTTACATGTTCCTGCTAAAACTTTTATTGGATTTGGATTTTATTCAAGAGCCAATGATTGTAAAGTGTTAAGAATCATGATTCCCCCTGTTGACCCTGGGAATCATTATAGGGCTGAGGCATCTTAATTCCAATTCTTGGAAAGACATTACTCATATTTATCCCAAGTATGGAATAGATCAGCATTTTGTTCCAGCTTTTGTGAATATTGCATTGCATTGGGCTGTGACTGATTGGAAAAGGGATGAGCGTAGGAGTTTTATTATGGTATTTGATTTAAAATATGACATCTTTCGTGAGATTTTATTGCCAGAAGCTCTGGTTAAAGCTTACTCGTCAGATTTGACTGTTAAGGTATTTGGGAAATTATCAATTGTTGTTATTCATCGGAGTGACTCTTATGAGTCGCATATATGGTTGATGAAGGAGTATGGCGTAGTGGCATCATGGGTAAAGTTAGTAACTTTGGCAAACGATGGCGAGGAAGATTAGAAGTTTTGGCTTTTAGGAACAACGGAGAAGTGTTGATGGAATTTACCCGTGGATCTTGTATAGGCATAGCGTCACAGAACCTCGAGGGCCAACGGATAAAAAATCTCTTAACTTTGGATAGATACAAATGGCCTACAATTTATAGCCATGTGGAGAGCCTAGTATTGCTTGACAAAGGAAATGATGCTGCAGTTGCAAGTCATAGAGTTGGTCCTAGTATAATGTTGGTTCTTGGTATTTTAAACGAGCTAAAAGAGGTAACTGATGTGCTTTCGGGATTAGAAAGCAGACATTGAGTAGAGTACTCATGCATATTCTCAACTTTTTCTTCAGTCTTTTACACATGAAATAACAGTTTAAATTTCTTTGGACAATAATTTTCTATTAATTATGTTTCCTTGCTCATTATTGAACTGCATTTAGATTATAAAGTTGATGTCTGCTTGCTTTTAATTTTTAGTATTCAATTGTGTTTTCTTAAAATAGGATCTTGCATTATTTCTATTTTAAAATCTTACCCTTGGTTGATAAGAAAAGAATATCTTATTTTTATACACTGTAATCATTTGGTTATGAAGCTTGCTGAGAAATGACTGTGAGGAATGTCTTATTATTTAGACTAAGTAAGCTGGATTATTGAGTGCATGTTGGGGGATTTGCAAATATTTGGTTTCGAAAGGAGGAATTGGTCATTTAGGTGTTTGATCAAAAGCATTTGAATTAATTTTTCGTTCAACTTAATAAAAGTCACTTGCAGTTAGTAATTATGTTGCATTAAAATACATTTATAAAGTAAAAAACAATCATGTAATACTCAGAATATAATACATTATTTCATTATTAGTGAAAATATCAATTCACTTTCATAAAATAAAATGACAATTTACGGTACTGTTGCTATAATAGAAATAATTATTGCTATAAAAAAACATTAAAAATGAAAAATCACATTTTTCTCTCAATCCAAATAGCTAGTGTAAATTGTTTAAATCAATGTAAGATCCAAAATTGAATTGAATGTCATCGTTATTATGATATCCTTGTGGTGTGATTTTTGGTTTTGAGAGTTAATAAAGATATTTGATTTGTGGATTTGCTAGTGTATTTATAGGATAGAATAGTTAATTGGTTTAATTAATTGACTATACAAAACTATTTATGAGAAGATAATGAATGTCTTGGATTATAATTGATGAAATTACTCAATTAAGTAGCAAAATGGAAGGTAAAATATTTGTAACCAACAAAATTACTCAATAAGTTATGATATGGATGATAAATATTTGTATAATTTTCAGAAATGTGTTATAAGAAATTGATGAGATATTATCGTGTTTAATAATTTTAAATTATACTTCTTTCGTCTCGAATTGATGGTGCACTTTGCTTTTTCATTTGTTCCAAATTATATCACACTTGCCTTTTAATAAGTTAGTTAATATGTTAAATCTGTAATATATTCATATTGGGGGGTGTAAATGAGCTTAACCGGCTCGTAAACTATTCTAACTCAGATTGGAAAGAGCTCGAAAAAGTTCGGCTCGGATCGAGCTCGAGCCTGCTCATTTAGCAAACAAGCCAAGTTCGAGCCTAATGATATTCAATTCGAAAGTTCATCGTTCCTGATCGAGCTTTTATATATTTTTTATGTTACTCGGGTCTCGGACGGAGCTTGAGTTTAAAATTTTTTGAGTTGATATTCAAGTTCAGCTCAAGCTTTCATTGAGCTGAACTCGAATAATTGCCTTCTATGTAAAGTCCAATGCTTGAAGTAAAGCATCTGAAATACACCTCAAGTTTTGCTTGGTAAGAAGCAAATGAAGTTAGCTGCTTTGGACTCATATCTGGCATTAAATCTTGGGGTGAAAATTTGTTGCGGCTAAAGTCTTCAGGTGAGTTGTAAATAATAGTAGGAATGGTATTTAAGGGTATTTAAGTCTTTTTTTTTATAGTAACGGCCAAAACATACGAAAGGACTATTTAATGGGATAGAAGCAAATTTTAATAGCATTTTAAATATTGTATAAAAATTATGGACTACTTAGATAATCATGGTAAGGTCAAGGACTAAATAATTATTTTCACTTGTATATATAGTTATATATGTTTGCTTTATCAGGTCAATGGAATTGAGTTTATAATTATTTTTCTCTCAACAAAATTTCTGCGAGTCTCTTCTTTGCAGATAATCTAAAACAAAAGGATCTCAAGCAAAGGGATGAGGAAATCGAAATCGAAAGATTTGCCTGAGGAAATAATAGAAGAAATCTTGTGGAGGCTGCCGATAAAGACCATAGTACGGTGCACCAGTGTATGCAGGTCATGGTACTCTCTTATCAAAAACCCTAATTTTATTTCCACCCACCTTTATAGAGCGCTTTTCTCAAGAAATAACCCATTATTTTTGCGTCCTGCAACTACTGATACTAATCCTAAATATAAATTATATTTTGACAATAAAGATTTCGGTGAATACATGTCACTCAATCCCCCTTTCGACTCCAAGGATTTCTTTGCTGTCGTTGGTTCCTGCAATGGTCTAGTTTGCCTCTTTGGTGGGGATTCTGTATTTTCTAAATATAGATTTTTCCTTTGGAACCCTTCAATTAGAAAATACCTATTACTGCCCTTACACCAATCCATCTCTTGGAGACATAGTTGGGAAAATTATGTTATTGGGTTTGGATTTGATTCTAAAACCCATGATTATAAAGTGTTAAGCATGAGAGGTACTTTTGTTGACAATGGGAATCACTTCAGTGCGGAACTTTACTCACTTAATGCAAATTCTTGGAAGAATATCTCTAACGTTGCTCCCAAGTTTGATGGTTGGATTTCACATAAAAGTTATTCATGTTCTGTGAATGATGCATTTCATTGGCTTGCTTATAAAATGAAAAGTATAACTGAGACGGAATGTGTTATCATGGTGTTTGATCTAAGAGATGAGGTTCTTCGTGAGATGAAGTTACCTCAATGTTTAGCAAATTCTTCGAATTTGAATTTAAATTTGAAGGTTTATGTATGTGGGGAGTCATCAATTGCTGTTATTCATCAAGAAGATGAGAAAAACTCAAGCATTTGGGTGATGAAAGAGTACGGGGTAGTGGAATCGTGGGTGAAGTTAGGAACTGTGGGTAAACGTTGGAGAGGAAAGTCAAGGGTGTTGGGTTTCAGGTGTAATGGAGACGCATTATTGCATTTTAATCGAGGACCAGGAGTCATAGCTTCGCAGAACATAGAGAGCAAAAGGGTTAAGAATTTCATTTCTACAGTGAGGTATAGTGACTCTTCTGTGTATAGCTATATGGAGAGTTTAGCATTGCTAGACAAAGGAGCTGATGTAAGTGCAAATGGTACAAGCACTCCCAAGTAGAGTCAGAAGATCCAATACACAGTTAAAGTTCTATTACTTGCTCTATTTTCAGTATTATCTTGGATTTAATTTATTTAATTTTGGTTTGTTCTAAGTAATTTAATCAATAGCAATTTAATATCTTTGCAGGTAATGAATTGTGAAAGTGTTGACGCTCTTACCAAGAATTTACAGTACTGTTGATCATATACAGGATGTTAGCTTTTTCTTGGGTACTTGATTAGTATTTTATTTATAATATGCATGGTTCTTTTACTACAATGGAATGTAATTCTGTTAACTTCTTTTAAATACTTGGTACTTTTATTTGCATAATAGGTTAAATACTCAATTTGACTATTGAATTTGATGTTTAATTTCATCTGAAATTAACTTTTGAACCAATTTAGAAAATAAATTTTGAATTTGATGGTTGTGGAGATGCTTTTGTTAAGAAGGTTTGTGTTAGATGGTTTTACAATTTGATATGAAAGTTTATGTTTTTCAACTCAATCAGTTCTTATATATATTTTTGAGTATTGGGAGAGGGGGATTTGAACCCGAATCTATTGTCGGATTGTATATGCACTTAACAATGCATCAGTGTAAAGTTTTTTTAGATTTGATGTACTTTAAGTTTTTTAACGTAACATTCTTTAATTAGAATCGGTCTAGTTTTAACTGCAAAGGTTTATTAAGTTTTTTTTCCTAGAGTTATTATTAATAAAATAAACATTTACTAATAAAAAAAATGTTAACACGAGAATAAATTTTATCATGTGGATGAAATAACCCTTCTTCCAAAACCTAAGCCACATACAATTCTTTCTTCAATGAAATCATGACTTTCCTCTCTAAGAATATCTATTACATTTACAGCTACTAAATCATACCCTTTGAATTTTTATACCTTCTAGTCCCTGGTAGAGCAATTGCTATATTATCAGAATTAATAAAATATTTAAGAAGTTCAAAAGTTTAAACGAAAAACTAAAAATGATGAATATAGAATATTTGTTCTTCTTGCTCATGTTTGAAAATACGGTTGTATTTTTTTTTTTTTTTTCTGTTTTTATGGTTATTTTGATTTCTTAAATAATTTTGATTTCTTAAATATCTTTTATAATTTCAAAAATACATTTCATTCAAAAGTTAACTTTGAATCAAACTATGACAATTGAAAAGAAATCATTTTTTTAACAAAATTTAATTCAAAATTAGATTAGTTACTAAATGATTGGATGTTGTTATTGAACAAAGTAAATAATAGAATTGGATGTTTAACTTTTCTATGATTAGTTCTTTGAACAAAAATGAGGGAGTATAACCCTGTTTAACATACACTGTTTGAGACCAGCAAACACCGACTTGATCAGTCTGCAGAAAAGAAGAAGAAGAAGAAGAAGCCGAAGAAGAATAACAAGCCAAAGGTGTTAGGATACCGGCAATAAAAATACGAGAATAATTAAGCAGCGAAAATATTAAAATTGGGACACGTAGAAATTTACGTGGTTCACCCTCAACTGACAAGCCAAAGGTGATAGGATCACGGCAATACAAAAAAATACGAGAATAATGAGAGCAGCGGAAAATCATTAAAATTGGGACACGTAGACGATAGAAATTTACGTGGTTCACCCTCAACTGTTTAAGGCTAACGTCCACGGACCAACTCCAATATTTCTTTCCCACTATAGGACCAACTCCGAATATTTCTTCCACTATTAAAAATAGTAGGCTTACAAAGAGAGTAATACAAAATAGTGGCACTCACAAGTGTTTCTCAAAAACACCCTAATAATCTTCACTATTTTCTAAACCCTTAGTTGTAAGAACCCTTTCTTAAAACTCATAAAAACTCTCTATTTTTCTCACTTATTCTTTCGTTGCTCTTGTTGGTGCATCTGTGCTGAATGCTCCTGCCTCTATTTATAGGCAAAGATTTGAGAGAGCCGTGCATTGCTCATGCACGGCTCTTCATTATTTTCAACTGGCATGTTCAATGAGGTTGGTTGCCAACCTATTGATTTTCTTTTTTTTTTTTTTTCATAATTGTTGGGTCCCACTTGAGTGGGCACACCACCACCAACATCTTCCCCCTGCACGCTCACAGTGGGACGTTAGCCCATACTCTTCCATATCCCTGCAGCTAATCGGCAATATTCAACTTGTCTTTGAAGACATCTCGGTAACATATCTGATCCCTTTTCATCTGTATGGATTCTTCTCAAGCTGTAACTGCTTCATCTCAATACATCCCTGATCCAATGATATCTAACATCAATGTTGCTTTGATCCTTGAATGAAAGAGGGAATTCTCCCAAGATGGATTGCACTTTGGCATTATCGCAGAAAAATCAAATATACGTTCTTTTGATGAATTTCGAGTTCATTCCAAGAACTTCTTTCATCCACAACAAACTTTGCATGCTTCTGTTAGTGCTATGAATCTGCCTCAGTTGTTGATAGAAGCAACACACTTCCTGCAATCTTACTGCCATGAACAGCTCCTCCTGCAAATTGTGATAGATAACCCCTGATGTGGACTTTTCTCGAGTCAACATTCCCACCAATCTGCCATCGGTATAACGGTATACTGGTTCTCATTCTCCAAAAGCATAAACATACTTGGTCCGTACCTCGAAGGCGATACCTGAAAATCCATTTCACTGACAGGTCCAAATGTCCTTCCAAGAATTTTTGAAAGAAACCGACTCACCTACATCCGACTGACAATTGAAAGCAATATCTGGCCGTGTACAAAACCATGATACATTAAGCTTCCAATGCTGAAGCATATGGAATCTCTTTCCAGCTTTCCTTCTCTCCATCAGTAGAAGCACTGTTTTGAGCTTAATTTAAAAGTGGATTATGGCAAGAGGACAACTAAACCGGCTTTAGAATTTCCATTTAACCTTGAAGTACTTTCTCAATGTACTTCTCTTGGACAACCATAATTTCTTGGTTCTTTGATATTCTCGTTAATCTTCATACCAAGAATCTGCTCTTGCTGGAGATCCAATCTTCATGCAAAAAGACTTACTTAGCTGTTTCTTCAAGCTATTATTCTCGAACACAGAATTTGACAACAATCACATATCATTCTAACATAGAGCAAGGAGAATAAATGTAGTACATCATACAGAGAATTTCTTTACGAAGGAACAGTGATTCTGACAGTGGTCTTTTTACTGTAACCTTGCTCCCCATTAACAGACCTCAAAACAACAGACTCAAACTTCTTATACCACTGTCTCAGTGCCTGCTTCAAGCCGTACAAGCTCTTCCTTAGTTTGCAAACACAATCCTCTTTTTCTACGAAACCCTATGACTGCTCCATATATATTTCTTCTTCCAAATCTCCATGCAGGAAGGTAGTCTTTCAATCCATTTGCTCGATTTTCAGTTCAAAACTGGCGGTCATTCCGAGCACTGTTCGGATGGATGTCATTTTCACAACTAATGAAAAGATCAAAATCAATACCCTTTCTTTGATTGAATTCTTTCACAACTAGTCTAGCTTTGAATCGTGGTTGGGAGCTGTGTTCTTCCTGCTTGATCCTAAACACCCACTTGTTCTCAAAGCTTTCTTGCCTTTGGGCAACTTAACCAACTCAAATGTTTTATCCTTATGCAAGGACTTTATTTCATCTTGCATGGCTTCAATCCAGTTCCTCTTGTGTTCATTTTCCATAGCTTCTTCGAAGCTTTCAGGTTCTCCCCTATCAGTCGTTAGTACATACTCATTAACTGGATATCTAGTAGATGATTGTCAGACTCTACTAGATCTTCTTAATGTTTGAGAACCTTCCGGTGTTGGTGGTTGAATGTGTGGACTGAACATGAACATCATCAAATCTCATCTCATCAAAATCTTCTTCTGGTTCATTCTGATAAGGAACTTCTGGATTTTCTAACTCCTTGTTCTTGTGGAACATTATCTTCATCTCCAACTTGTCTTTGTTCTGTTGCTAGAGGAACTATTTGCACATCTGTTGAATCATCTTCAGATCTATCGGCAGCTTGCTTTTGAGTCTTTTCAACATCTTTAATAGTCTGATTTTCCACAAACACGGCATCTCTACTTCTTATCATCTTTTTTTGGATTGGATCAAAAAATCTATAACCAAATTGATCTTGGCCATAGCCAATGAATACACATTGTCGAGTATTGACATCAAGCTTAGACCTCTCATCCTTAGGAATATGCACGAAGGCTTTGCAACCAAACACTCGCAAATGATTATAGGAAACATCCTTTCCTGACCATACTCTAACATCCTTTCCTAACCATACTCTCTCTGGAGTATCATACTGTAGAGAGAAACAGGGTGAACGATAAACTATTGTGAGCTGCTGTAAGAAGAGCTTCACCCCAAAATCTTTTAGACAAATTTGCATGTGAGAGTAAACATCTGACTCTCTCCATCAAAGTTTTGTTCATCCTTTGAGCCAAACCATTCAGTTGCAGCGTCTTGGGAGGTGTTGTTTGATGTCAATACCATGCTCTTTGCAGAAAGTATCAAATGGCCCAATGTATTCTCCACCATTATCTGTTCTGATGCACTTTAACTTTTTGCCTGTCTGTCGCTCAACCAAGTTTAGAAATTGTTTAATTGTTTAAAAACATCTAAAACTTGATCTTTGGACTTCAAAGTGTATACCCAGGTCTTCCTAGAATGGTCATCGATAAATGTAACGAAGTATCGATTTCCACCATATGACACCGTCAATGGTCAACACAGATCTGAATGTACCAGATCTAATACATTCTTCATTCTAGAAGGAGGGGTAATCTTAAAAGCTACTCTGTTGAGCTTTCCTGCCATACAATCAGGACACTTGTCTAGATTTCTCTAAATGGACTTTATCCAAACCAGGTAGCATGTTGTTTTTAACCAGAGTTGTCATTCCTTTCTCACTCATGTGGCCTAGTCGTTTATGCTACAATTCAACTGCACTGTCATCCTCTGCTACATTAAAAGCATCTCGGGAGAGCTTCGCATGCATCACATACAGCTTTAGATCTTTCTTTCCATTTGCTATCACCATGGAACCTTTTGTGAGCTTCCACTTGCCATTTCTGAAGGTGCTACAGAAATTTTCATCATCAAGTCTGCCAACCGAGATTAAATTTGAATGCATGTCTGGTACATGCACGACATCTTTTAAAATTAACCATTTTCTTCTCCAGGCAGATATCCCCTTACCGACGACTTTCAACAGTTTACCGCTTCTGCTATCTTGACCACACCCAAATTTTCTTGGTGTTTGTAAGATTTACGAAAAAATTTCTCTTCTCCGGGATGTTGCATGAAAGTGTAGCCCCACTATCAATTACCCAACTGCGTCTCTTGGGTTGCAAGATTGATAGTGTCTTCCAATGAACAGTGGAATTCAAGCAATGACATTAGCTTCATCATCACTGCTTTCTTCTTTCTTTGCCTGCCTTTGATCTCTCTGATACCTTTTTTGAACTTCCGGCAATACCTTTTAATGTGCCTCCCTTCTTCCCACAATTGGATTTTTTTGGAAACCCAAAAACCAAAAACAAAATAATTTTTTTGGGCCAATTGGTTGATCTACCTCTCTCTTATCTTCTTATCTCTTGTATTTGTACTTCTAGATTGGCTCCTCCCTCTGGACTGGTTATTTCTTTTAGCATCTGCTAAAAAAATGTCTGACTGAGATGAAGAAGGATTATGTGCTTTTCGTCTCATTTCTTCATTCAGAACAGCAGTTTTAACAAATTCCCAGCTAACTCCACTCTGTGGTGTAGAGTTTGTTATTGATATCTTCAGAGTCTCCCAAGATTCTGGTAAGGAGGCAAGCACCATAAGGCCGAGTATTTTATCATCAAATTTTATGCCCATATTTGATAGCTGGTGAATAGTCGCCTGCATTTCACTCAACAAGTGATCTGCCGGATACAGAAGTACCTTCTTGGTAATTTTGAAATTCATCAGCTTTCGTCAAATTAAAATATTGGTTGTTGCCGGATTTTTGAGGCATATAGCTGTTCAAGCTTGTCCCATTAATGTTCGGCGTGAGTTCTCGTTACAGATTGGTTGACACATTATTCATGACCAAGATTGTCGAATATAATCACAAACTTGTCATGCTTTGGAAAGCCCATTCTCATTCAGTCTTGTTCTTCCGGTTTGCTTGAACCAAACACGGGCAGATTGCATGGTTACCATAAGGAGATCTTCTCATTTTATTTCTCCATATATGGTATATTTGCGCCATTTAGACTGATCATTTTGCTCGTTCTAGCTTCCATGATCTTTTTTGAGTGAATTAGTAACAGTATATATAAAATATACTAGTATACGGAGAATAGTAAATGTACATGTGAATAGTACCTGTATGTGTGAATAGTACTAATACGTGAATAGTGCTGGGCTTTAACGGCTCAGCAACCAAGTTAACGTCAATAGTAACTGATTCACTATCAACTACGAGTTACTATTTTTACTATTTCATCACTAAGTCGATTTTTGCACGTCTTTCCGAGGCGGACTGCACCAACGGATTCGTCATAATTTCTCGTCTTCGTGGTATATTATTTTTCAAAATATATCCACGGGATCCGTTTACCGCTATCTGACCGGGCATGAACCAGGCTCTGATACCACTTGTTAGGATTACCGGCAATAAAAATACGAGAATAATTAAGCCAGCGAAAATATTTAAAATGGACACGTAGAAATTTACGTGGTTCCCCTCAAACTGTTTAGGGCTACGTCCAACGGGAACCAATCCGAATATTTTCTTCCACTATTAAAAAATAGTAGGCTTACAAAGAGAGTAATACAAAATCAGTGGCACTCACAAGTGTTTCCCAAAACACCCAATAATCTTCACTATTTCTAAACCCTTTCGTTTTTAAGAACTCTTTTTCTTAAACTTCAAAAATATTAAAAAACAAAAAAATTAAAATTTAAAAACTCTCTATTTTTCTCTCATATTCTTTCGTTGCTTCTTTGTTGGTGCGTTCTGTGTGAATGCTCCTGCCCTCTAATTTATAGCCAAAGATTTGAGAGAGCGTGCATTTGCTCATGCCGGCTCTTCATTATTTTCAACTGGCATGCCAACCATTTCCAAGGTTGGTTGCCAACCTTTGATTTTTTTTTTCTTTTCATAATTTTGTGTGGGTCCCACTTTGAGTGGGCACATGCCAACCATTCAATGGTTGGTTGCCAACCTTTGATTTTTTTTTTTCTTTTCATAATTGTGTGGGTCCCACTTGAGTGGGCACACCACCACCAACAAAAGGAGCATCTTAAACATACAAACCACAAGCTTGAAATCCAGAAGCATTGGCAATAAAATCAGCCACAAAATTGGTTTCCCTATAACAATATGAATCACCTGCATCACCCACTGCCTATGCATAAGTACCAAGCACCTCGCCGCCGCCGCCGCCGCCGCCTCCACAAACAAGCAAGACCAAATGCTGCCATTAGGAGCAGCAGAAAAACTTTGCAAATGTTTCAAAAGCCGGCGATCATTATTAAGATTGAAGGACAAAGGAATCACATTATCAGCTCTAAATAAATTATACAAAAAGCTAAGTTTTATATAAATTATGTATCTCATCATTGAAGTTTATGAGACAAATTTAACTTTCTAATTTCATTTTTTTTATCGATTTTTTTTTATTACCATATTCATTACACAATCACCCTTGTCTCCTTTATCTTTCGGATCTCATCTGGCAGAAGGGGTTATATATGTTGTCTATGTGATCAGAGAGGAAAACAACTGAAAAAATGTCGGATTACTTGCCTGAAGAAGTGATCATACAAATCCTACACAACCTACCTGCTAAGTCCTTGATCCGATTTACAAGTGTTTGCGAGTTATGGTACTCTCTCATCAAAAACCCTGATTTCATTTCAACCCACATTGCAAAGTCCTCATCAATTGGCATCAAAAGCAACCCTAACCCATTACTCCTATATCACGTCTATGCCAATCAATATTCTTTGGGTTTTGATCTTCAAGGGTTCGAGGAGTACATGCATTTTCCGTTCAAGTCCGGCTCCAGATTCTTTCGCGCAGTGGGTTATTCTAATGGCTTGTTATGCATCTTCGATAGAGATTTCGCTCTGGACAGGTATTAAGACAAATTCATTCTTTGGAATCCCTCTATTAGAAAATCATTCACAGTTCCCCAACCCAATTTTGCCTTTTCGGCGACCTGTAGCTTCTGCTGTGATTATGTTGGTTTTGGGTTTGATTCTAGCACTAATGACTACAAAATCTTCAGAATGATGATGCATCATCTATATTTCTGTCAAAACGTTCAAGTACCTGATATTCAGATCAAAATTTACTCATTTAACATGAATTCTTGGAAGATTATCACTAGTAATGTGCCGGCATATTGGATAGAAAACCAAATGTTACGTCTGTGCGCCTCACAGAAACATTATACAGCAGCTTACGTGAATAATGCTTTGCATTGGATCGTGAGTTATGGGAAGGAATCCACAGAGGATGATGATGTTGGCAGGCGTACCTATAGTTCTATCATGCTGTTTGATATGAAAGATAAGGTTTTTGGTGAAATTATGTTGCCAAATTGTTTGGCAAACCATTCTGCATCTGGATGGTCTGTTAAGGCATTTGGGGACTCATCAATTGCAGTTATTGGAAGATATTTGAATAACTATTTCACTCATATATGGCTGATGAAAGAGTATGGTGTTGTGGAGTAATGGGAGAGTTTACCGCAGGTTGATGATCAAAAGAGAGGGAGAGTAAGATTCTTGGGGTTTAAACAAAATGGAGAAATCATACTGAAATATTTTCGCAGACAATCAGCTTGTCCAGTTGCAGATGCTTTTGTTGACACTTATGTGGAGAGCCTAGCATTAATTGACAAAGGAAATGCTGTAGAAAAAAAATGTCCAAAAAGAAGCAGAGAATCCAACACAGAGTTTAGTTCTGTTCTTTACTCTATTTTCAGTATTATCTTTGAATTAATTAAATTTTGGCCTTACCTGAAATGAAAGTGTCAATGTGGCAGGGGTTTGTTGTAATATTATGACAATTAGAAAGCTAGAAAGGTTTGGGTTTTCTTTAAGTGCAAAGTAGTAGTATTTTTCAAGTGTGCTATGGTTCGTATATTCCTGCAGGATCATAGAGTTCTACATGGATTGTCGTATTTCTGAAAGGATCAAATCACAAAGAGTTACTGTTGTCACATGATTTTAGATCTAGATCCCTTTGGTTAATGTAGGTAATAAAATGGAACAATTGCTGTTTGACAAGAGCAGGTTTTGATTGTAACTTCTTTTAGATAGTTTTGTATGCATAAATACTCAATTTGACCCAAAATTAAATGGACATAGAGTAGAGTACTTACGCACATACTCAATTTTTTCTTTAGCTTTTGACATGCCTTTTTACATATGAAGGCAACAGTTCAAACTTCTATGGGCAATAATTTCTCATTGGTGATGTTTCTCTGCTTATTATCGAACTGCATTTACCTTGTATATGTGATGTCTGCTAGCTTTTAACTTTTAGTTTTTAGTTGTGTTTTATTAAATTGGGATCTTGGTTTATTTAAGCTATTTTGCAAGTTGCCATTTGGTTGCTGCAAGCCGGCCATTTATCCTCTTTCCTTACACTTTCTGATAAGAAAGACTGTTTTATTTTTGATAGACTGTGACCTATTAGTTATGAAGCTTGCTGAGAAATGACTGAGAATTATGGAGCATGTATGTCATCTATGTGAAGACAATAGAAGTGAATCAAATTATGCTGAATTATTGAGAACATGTGGGCTTTTTCCCAATTATTTGGATTAGAAAAGAGGAATTTTATTGAATCTGCTATAATTAGCAATTGATATGCTTTTGTGTTTGCTCTGGAATGAAAAACTTTATTCAAACCTGTTTTTATTAGATTACAGGATTTTCAGCTTTAAGATAAAACAATGAAAAGAAACAAATAATGTTTTATTTTTCCATCAGGGCCATATGAATCCCATTTAGGTTAATCTGACATGAAAGCACAAAGGATTATAATTGTCATTCCAGATGAATCACATTTAGGTTAAATATGCTTTGAAAAAATTTGCAAAATTGTTAACCCTCCAGGATAATCTTGCTTGCATTGGCAGGCTAACTCGTCTGGATTAGAAAAGAGGAATTTTATTAAATCTGCTTTAATATCCGATCAACTAATAAACTGTAATTTTTCAATTGATTATTATTAAGAGTATTTTAAAATATTTTAAATTTTATTAAGGTTGATATAGAAATTCTGATTATTTCCTCTTTCTTCTCGTACTTATATAAAGTATAGATTAAAAAAAATACATTTATTGAACTTTCTAATGGTATAATGACGCTAGCCAAGTAGCAGAATTGTGGCCACTGAAACTAGGGGTCAGCAATATTTCGATATGATTTGAAAATTGAGTCAAATTGGATCAATTTATTTTTATCCGATTAGATTATATATTTTAAAATTGCGACCAATTTAATAAAAAATAATGTTTAACTTTTTATTTTAATTCGTTATTGATGCATCCGAATGAATTTTATTTTACATTTAAAATAATTGACTCAGTTCAGAATAATATATCTAATCTTCAATTGAATCAATTTTCTAATATTCAATTTTGATTACTATAAAATACATTCAGTTACATCGAACTAAACTGATTTGATTTGATCAGATTCAATTAAACCAAATATTCACCTTTACCCAGAACCAAAAGCTGGATTAAAAACTCCCTCCTCTTTCAAATCAAATAAAACCATGAATACCCATAATATAAAAGATTGGGCATGGCTTATTCTGATACGTAGGAAAGCAGTTATGAAGGAAATAATTTTGCTATTAATAAATTTTAAAAAGAGTAACATTGAGCTTAAATAATATAATTTAAAATATATTATAAAAAATAAAAATAGAAATTTTAAAATGATTTATTTTGTATTTATGAGACAGGGTAAAAATTGAACTCATGGGAAAGGTTGAAGTTTGACGGGCATTTATAAAAGTCGATGGGAAAAGTTGAACAGTTTTGATCAGATGGTTCCTTTTCTCTTTCTTTCTCATATTCCCAATGCCTAGATTGCTTCCATTACTGTAGCTTGAGTTGAGAAGCTTTCGAGCTTCCCTTTTTTTGTTTTTTTGGAAATTTTTATTTCAATATCCATAATATAATTATCCTTGTCTTCTTCATCCTTCTTTTCTCACCTCACTAATGGTTGTGTATGTGATCAGAGTGCAAAATGACAGAAGAAATGTCGGACTACTTTCCTGAAGAAGTGATAATACAAATCTTACACAACCTACCTGTCAAGTCCTTGATTCAATGTACCAGTGTTTGCAAGCTGTGGTACTCTCTAGTCAAAAACCCTGATTTCATTTCCACACAAATTCTAACAACCTCAGCCATTAACATCAAAAGCAACCCTAACCCATTATTTCTGTTTCACGTCGATGCCAATCAGTATTATTTGAGTTTTAATCTTCAAAGAGTTTAAGGAGTACATGCATTTCCCTTTCAGGTCCAGCTCCAGATTTTTTCGCACTGTGGGTTATTCTAATGGCTTATTATGCATCTTCGATAGACATATCGCGGTGAGCAGGTATGAAGACAAATTCATTCTCTGGAATTCCTCTATTAGAAAATCGTTCACAGTTCCCCAACCCAATTTGCCTTTTCGGCCACCTTTTACTGCTGCTGTGATTGTTCTGGTTCTGGGTTTGATTCTAACACTAATGACTACAAAGTATTTTAATATGGAAAATGCATGTCGACCTTTTAAGGTAATGTCTTAGAATTATTGATATGATCTACAACTTAAATCATAATAGAAGATTTATTAGTTGTAATTTTCTAATTAATAAGAAAATTAAATATAATAAAACAAAATAATTCAAAAACTTATGCATATATTTTTATGAATGTTAACTCAGCATTATTTTTGTTATTGTTATCTTTACATTGATTTAAAAATAATCCATTAATCAAATTACTTACAGTTAATGTTTTCTTTTTTATTGATTAATCTTTTTATTTTTTTTAATAGAAAAAATTTATTTGAAAATTACTTAATATATATAGTAGAATAATAGAGGAAAACATGTTTAATTAATTGATTCATTTTATATTTAAAAAATGCATTTTACTTTTTCATATTATTATTATCTTAACAAATAATTAGTGTCATGAAAAACTAAAAATAAAAAGGATAAAAGAGATTTCATGATTCGAATTAAAAAAAAAAAAAAAAGACACTTAAAATTTTAGAGGAAAAATGTTATGGAAACACTTGACTTTTGGGGGCTAAACTTGAATAGATATAAGTCGATTTTAATCAAGAAATCAATCTAAATTCAAAATTAAATTCTAAATGGAATTATTAAATTAATATTATATGATAAATGCGTGGACTATCTGGTAGATCATTACATAAATGGTCACTTTTAACGAGAATTATTCAATTTCTAATCCAATCAGAATGAAATTTCAGATTATCTAAATTCAATTTAAAATTTAAAAATTTAAAATGAACTTTTTAAGGGATACAAAGTTTATAGAGTGAGTGAGTAATCCAACTTAACATTTGGTTTAAAATTTGTAATTTCATTTTAAAATCTTTTTTTTAAAAAACATTTTAAAATCTTTTTATAACACGCGATTAAAAGTGATTTAATTTGAATATAAAAAAATAAAATTGATCTATCGGGTCGTACACGCATTATCTCACTATTTCACCTGGCTCAGGCTGACGGGTTACACGATGTTCTATATTTGATCAGAGGAAAACAACCTAAGAAATGTCGGACTACTTGCCAGAAGGAGTAATCATACAGATCTTACAAAAACTACCAGTTAAGTCGTTGATTCGATGTATTAGTGTTTGCAAGTTATGGTACTCTCTCATCAAAAACCCTAATTTCATTTCCACCCAAATTGCCAATACCTCGTGGATTAACACTGAAAACAACCCTAACCCAGTACTTCTACTTCACTTCCATGCCGGTGAATACTCTTTGGTTTTTGATAATCAAGAGTTGGAGGACATAACACTACATTTCCCGTTTTGCAAGTTATGGTACTCTCTCATCAAAAACCCTAATTTCATTTCCACCCAAATTGCCAATACCTCGTGGATTAACACTGAAAACAACCCTAACCCAGTACTTCTACTTCACTTCCATGCCGGTGAATACTCTTTGGTTTTTGATAATCAAGAGTTGGAGGACATAACACTACATTTCCCGTCCAAGTCCGGCTCTAGATTCTTTCGCGCAGTGGGTTATTCCAATGGCTTGTTATGCATCTCCATCAGACACACGAGATGTGATTATGGATCGGATAATTACAATGACGAATTCATCCTCTGGAATCCCTCTATTAGAAAATCATTCGCACTTCCTCAACCCAATTTTACATTTTTGACCAGCTGTCACTACTGCAATGATTATGTTGGTTTTGGGTTTGATTCTAACTCTAATGACTACAAAGTCTGCAGAATGAAGGTGCACCAACCTTACTGTGAAAAAATTCAAGAACCTAAGATTCAGATTGAAATTTACTCATTTAATATGAATTCTTGGAAGATTATTACCGGTAATGCACCCGAACGATTTGATAAAAAACAAGTTAACACCTGATTACCATGTGCATCCCACACAGATAGCAGCTTATGCGAACAACGCATTGCATTGGATTGTAGGTTATCGGGAGTTTGATGGTGGTGTTTTTAGGAATCCGTATGTTTTTATTCTGGTGTTTGATATGAAAGATGAGGTTCTTGGTGAAATTTTGTTGCCAAATTGTTTGGCAACACATATTGCATTGATATGAAAGATGAGGTTCTTGGTGAAATTTTGTTGCCAAATTGTTTGGCAACACATATTGCATTTGGATGGTCTGTTAAGGTATTTGGGGACTCATCAATTGCAGTTACTCACCATGAGTTCAATTCCTATGTCACTCCTGTATGGGTGATGAAAGAGTATGGTGTTTGGGAGTCATGGATGAATTTACTAAAGCCTGGTGAGAAAGAGAGAAGGAAAGTAAAATTGTTGGGGTTCAAGAAAAATGGAGAAATTGTATTGAAATTTGGAAGTATTAGACGTTCTTTTTCAAGAATAGATAATTTTGTTGAAACCTATGTGGAAAGCCTAGCATTACTTGACAAAGGAAATGCTGTAGAAGAAAAACATCAGAAGATCCAACACAGAGTTAAGTTATATTCTTCACTCTATTTTCAGCATTATCTTTGAATTAATTTAATTTTGGCCTTGGCCTAGGTTTAAATACTGGATCTGCTTTAATCAGCAGGTCTCTACTTAGCAATTGATTTGCTTTTGCATTTTGCTCTGGAATGAAAAACTGTATTGACACTTATTTTTATTAAATTGCAGGATCTTCAGCTTGAAGATAAAGACAATAAAAAGGAAGCAAAGAGAAATAGCCTACATTAATATTTTCTCAGAAATATTTTTGTAAGTGGGATCACTGCATTAAGGTTTAAATGGGTTAATATTAAGTGTTGAAAGGCCTTGAATTCTTTGAAGTCTCATCCAAAAATATGAGTTTCAAACTCAACTCTGATCCATTTTGTTTGGACATTTAACTTAGTGGCTTATGCTTCTATGATTGAAACAAATAAAGAGTTTATTTTATAATGTTTGCCAATTGCTATGCATGCTTGAAGTTTGTTTTATATTTCTCATGTTATTATTTGTAATTGTGTTAGGATTGGTTGATTTCATCTACTTTGAATGAAACAATTATCAGGATTTTATGTTTAAAGCTATTTTGATTTTCTGGTGTATAATTCAAGTGCTAGAAATAATTAGATGGTATTTTATTTTCTCTTCAGGAGGAATTTCCATATGGGTTAATGTGTTGTGAAAGCACAGATGATTGTTAATTGTCATTACAGATTATTTTTGTGTGCTTAGTATTTTCTTTGGAATATATATGCATAGTCATATTTAATAATTACTTGTGGTTAAATAATAATAAATGTAGATATCCTATATGTCATAGCATGTAATTAAGTCTTAATAATAATAGTTATAAATAAAAAGACCTAAACTATAAAAATACCTTAAATTTATTGATTTGCAATTTTATTCAACAATGATTTTTGTATTTAAGACATTTTGAACTTATCAACTTTTTTTTTCAACTACATCTTAAAATTAGAGTCTAAAAATAAAATCATGGCATCCGGAACTTGTAGACCTGTTGTTTTTATGATTAAGTAATATAAAAAAGAGCCTCACAACTACATTTGGATTAATCACACAATTGAGTTTGGGCTAACTCAAGCCTTTGTTGTTTCCTATTTTGCATTCAGTAGGTGTAGTCCCTGGTGTAACCCCTCTTATGCCATAGTAATCTCCCTGGAGAATAAATTTGTGCTTTAGCTAGCTTTCTGGAGATTAAATTTGTGTTTATATCCTTATCCGGAGGGGTTGAGGTCACTTAGCACCTTGTTAGCAATTTAGCATAATCCAAGTTCATTTGTAAAATATATTGATAAGTTTGAAGGGTTACAATTTGCTTTTGGACTTAATTTACTGTAAGGGTGCAATTGAAAAAAAAAAAAAAAAAAAAAAAAAAAATTGTTGCAATTGAAAAAAAAAAAAAAAAAAAAAAAAAAAAAAAAAAGTCCAGGTTAAAAATATTACTTGGAAGAAATTTTGCAAAGTTAACCCATCTCAGAAAATGAATTGACGGTGACAATCTTGCTTGGTTTGGCTAGCCCAACTTGTTGCATTGATGTGTTGAAAAAAAAAAAAAAAAAAAAAAAAAAAGTCCAGGTAAAAAATATACTTGGAAGAAATTTTGCAAAGTTAACCATCTCAGAATGAATTTGCGGTGACAATCTTGCTTGTTTTGGCTAGCCAACTTGTTTGCATGATGTGTTGTGATTTTTGGTTTTGAGAGTGATATTATTCTTTTAATTAGGACCATATAAAATCACATTTTTTTTTTTCTGATAAAACTATTTAAGGGGGATTCAAATTCAAGTGTATGCAATTTCCAAACTTACTTATCTATCTGTCTATAATATATGTATTCTATATAGATTTGGAAAAATTACTGTTAAACAGCTTTCTCTAAACATATTTTTCTTAAATTTAAAATTTTTAGCTTAAAATGCTGAGACAATTAGAAAGGGAAAGTCACAAGAAGAAATCATTTCATTTCAATGCTAATTAAAGCTTGCTCGCTTATTGTTTTCTTATACTACACATATCTTAAAATATGCAAAAAATATCAAAGATCCCATATTACACCATTTTTCAGAGAAAAATTAACCTATCAATAATGGTTGAAAGATATAGTTTTCTCTGACATATAAAATGCCTTTTTTTTTTTTTTCTTTTTTTGAGAAGAAAAAAAAAAGAGATCTTCCATAGAATGACACTCACGAAAAGAACCTGCCACAAAAGCCAGAATAAAATTAATCTCATACCTAAAAAAGAGTGAGAACTTCTTGGGAAAACTATATATATAATGCTTCTTGAATGTTGTTGGCTTGATTAGTTTATATGCAATGAAGGAATAAAAGCATTAATGGAATTAGTTTATACAAATGGTAATCTTAAATGAGAGATTTCCATATTTCATAGAAACTTTCCAGTGCCCGAGTCCTATGATTTTTTACAGTTAGCACTATCTCAGACAGTATATCAATCTACATACATATACAAGATGTGTGTAGTATATACCATAACCAGTCTGTCCAACAACTTTCTGCATCAATGCTCTGCAATTTTCAAATCAGTTCGTCAACGATCACATTCTGAATTTAACTCTCAACTCTTCGGACTTAACTAACTCGTCATGTTTTAACTCTGCTTATGCTTTTTCTATTCCTGTTAAAGGAAAAGAAAAAATAAAAATTTGAAGCACATTAGTACTTGTCAAGTGCAGCTGCCATGGTAGAATAAAACAGTTTCTTCATATATACCTCAGCAGAACCTTTCGACAAAGAATTGGAACCAGCTTCTGTTTGTGTCTCGGGTATTCTTGCTTCTGATTTCTCATTTGAATATCTGAGAAATGAAAGGTTCTAACATGTTAGCACCTAGTCGACAGAATGAGAACCAGATTAAATGGAAGCAACAAGATGACTAAAGGACAAAACACAATGAGTCGCTGTCATTAGTGTAGAACATAATTCAGTTAAATGAATATTCCATACAATTCTTTGGCAGTGATGATACTGCCAGGACCACTAAAAAAATCAGGTTGAGCAACTTCAGATTTTCCAAACCAGAATTTATTGGAGAAAGAATATGGACAAACGACTAGTAACATATAACCAAAAGAAGACCTTGGATTCATCTGGTTTTCCATGAACAAGAGCTGAGATATAAACATTTGCATACCAGCCAGAGAACTTAGCACATGAATTTTTTATTAAAATGGGAAAATTAGAGACACTGGTCTGACTTTTCATGTCCTGTGCGATATTTCCGTTTTTCAAAATATGTGGTTAATTATTTGGGTTTTACAAATCAAAAATTTGGTCCCCATAAATAACAGTTCAATTTGAAACATTTGATTCAGGAAAGGTCATCTGAAGCACTATAATGTTACTTTTCTAGAAAAGAGAGGATTATTTCAGTAAATCTTCTTGGAGAAGAACCTTATAAATATTCATCTTCAGCACCTGATACAAGAAAATTCAAAAACAATGCAAAGTAATACTTACGTCGAGAGTATTGTAACCCAAATGAGTTCTACGCAGTCCACCCAAAGAAGCCTTTGTTCTACTGGGATCACACCATATGTAACAAGATGTGCAAATGGCCAAAGTTTCCACCCTGCCTGCACGACAGACCACATAAAAGAAGGCAAAATTAAGCTGAATTGTTAGGAAAAGTAACAATTATGAACTCACAGGTTTTTTCAAATAATCCAAATGATAAACAAAATCTCAAGATCAAGCAAATAATTAGCATCAAATGAACAAAAGGAACATTTTCCCTTTTTTCCCTACATGACCATTATGAACAGAAAACCAGCTAATGGATAAGAGTATTCCATGAGCTCATTAAGGTAAAGCTAAACATTCTCTTGAAGTAAAAATGCAGTTTCACGCCTAATTGGAATCTAGATTAGAATATCTTTTTATCAAATATTTATATATCCAATTAAGTTAAAGTAAACTGCCAAACACTGATAATTGAAATGATGCACATGAAACAGCTAACATTAAATCCAACCGCCACATATAAAGAAAATGTTTTAACACAATAAATCTTCTTTTAAGATTAAAGTTCTCCAACTCTTCCCAACTCCATTCCCAAAAAAGAATAAGGAAAGAGAAATGTTAGTTCAAAGTTTGCTCAAGACACAGGGAAAAAAGGACAAAGTATAGAGAAATTAGCATAAAGTTCTCTTACTGTTAGCATGGGCCAGAATGTAGCCCTCAATTCACTAAAAATGGTGGCAGGGGAATCCAGACGCAGGAATCCCACCACTATATAATAGATGCTGTTCCAAACTGCTGCCCATGCAGTTTGGTCGAAGGCCACTTTGACAGGAACCACCCACCAGTCTTGAAATGGAAAAAGCTCCTGGAGAACAAAGGAATGGCTCAGGAAAACCACAAAAATTCTGGTACAAGGAACAAGTAACTAAATGCACATTAAAAAATGGCATAAAGCTACGATAATCACCTCACAGAACTGGTAATAGTAATGTGAAAGGGAGCCATGTAACATAAAGCCAACAAGGCCTGATCTAAACATTCGTGCTCGGTCAAACTCAAAGAGTGGTTTACCTTCAAAGCACTGCCAATAAACCAATATAAAAAATAAATTACACTAACAGTTCAGAACAGCTATAGGATGCAACAAAATTCATCTCACACATTTTCTAACCTGAGCAATCCAATCGCCTATAGAATAGACCACTCCACTAATCATCATTTTTGCTAAAACTGGATTTGTCTTTAGAGCTTCCTCGTATGCAGACCAGTTGTGTTGAGGTGCATATCTCAATATTTCATAGATGGTCCACCCCTAAAAGAAAGGAAAAGAACAAGATATGAGATAAAATTTATTAATAACTATAGATATTCAGCAACCAAACAACAAATCAAAAACATCCAAGTATGATATTTTGCAACTGGCAAAATATGGCAATTAATACTCCTTGTTGAAATTCCCAAAATTTCGACGAGAGCTAGTAGTGGAATGTCAAAACAAGCAACTATGAATAAATTCAATCACTCTACACTAACATCAAAAGAAGCAAGGAGACATGGATATCTTTTTTATTACCTCAACCATCCGCGTCTAGTAAATATGTTCTCAACTGCACACTAACCAGTGTGTATATGTAATCATTTACCCTCATGTAGCCAAATCCAATTACAACCATAACATTTTTTACCTCATCTTCAACCAAAATCTGCCAATATTTTGAGTTCTCAACTAATCTTTTTAAATCAAGCGTGTTGCAGTTGAGACTTATCTTTGCAGATGGTGCATCTCACTGTTCCACTTGATGGAGCAACCGATAATAACTCTAAGCTTTATTTTGTGAATTTTTCAAATTGCAGATAATATTTTGCACCACAATAAAATTGGAGTCTATCATGAAGCTCTTTAAGCAATTTCTATATCGAATCCTTCCACTCCCTTCACGATCAACAAGATAACAGTAAATTGCATCACTTCAAAGCATTCTTTTATACACCTAAGGATCTATATGGTTAACTTGCTTGTTTGAATTTTCTCTACTTTGGAAGTAGAAGGAAAAATTTGAACAGCAAAACAGTAGGCTTTTAATGAAAAGAAAAAAAAAAAAAAATCATATCCTTCTGATGATTTCCTTCCTTTTCTCATATTAAGCAAAATTCATATATTTATTGTATAGTTGGTACTAAAATTCCTTTCTTTCTATAGGAAGCACAAAGAAAAAAGTAAGCTAACCAAACTTATATGCAACCCTTACTAGTTAGCAGTCACTAAGCTTCCTGAAGCAAAAATTTGCCAACAACAAGGAATCTGCTTGCCGAGTAAACTTGACCAAAAGGCAAGAAAAAATGACAAATTCAGCTAAAAATGACACAGAGTAGCTAAAAGGAGAAAACCAAAAAGCTAACAATGATACGAGCAATAAAAACTGAATTGCTCCAATGAGAGGAGAGAAAAAGGAGTCGCAGAACTTCAACCAGTGAACAGATCTTGTATACGGAAAAAATTTTCTAAAGAAAAGAAGGATAAAAAATTATGCAACATAAAACCAGCGATGTCAATATGCTCACCTGCCAGTAATCATGATCAATTGTAAGCAACTTGGTAACGGCATACGAACCCGCAGCAAGAACAATCAAAGCATTTATAGACCTATCAATAAACTTATCCATTTCCAATTCACTCTGCGTTCTCTGTCCATCACCTTCCATACCAGCACTAGAAGCAGAAGAGAATCCTTCAAAAGACAACTGTCCCTCATTCGATCCAAACCCGCTCACCTGAGTCGCCAACTCGTTCCCTTCGCTCTCCACCTGACTAACAACCACCCCATCTTGCTGGTCCGTACTGTCTCCACTCTGAACAGGAATAACATCAAGCTCTTCTTGAACTACAGAATTCAAAAGCCAGCTCTCAGTTTTCTGTTTGTTTGTCCAGAAAATTGGGCTGTGTAAAATTTTTGTGCCAAGAAAATGAGAGTTGGGAAGGATTTTAGAGGTTGGTTTTTTAGATTTGGATAAAGGAAGCAGACTATGGGGAGAAATGGTGTGGAGAGAAGCCATGAATGGCCACTGAGTTGAGGTTGGGAGGAACTGAGTTGAGTTGACCGAGTTATCAATCTAATTGTTCGTTTCTCCAAATTGGAGTCTGTTAGGGAAGGAAGGTTATAATGGTGATCTATGATCTACTGCTGTGAGAAGTATAATCATATTTGCGTGATATTGTGCCGATGATAAACGGTAAAGATGATGTCTCTCGTGGAGTTTTAACTTTCCAGAAAATTGAATGGTGAGTGATTTTAGAAGAAGGAGACTCTTGCGTATTATTATGGGTTGTTATGCAGACGATACTTTTCTCTCGTGGGGTTTCCACTTTCCAGATAATGAATGTAGTCCACATAAGAAAGGCAAGAATCTTTTTAATACTAAAAAAATCACTACCAAACATACAGTACTGCAAAATTGTACTTCAATAACACATTCACAAATCACCGTATATTTATAAAATGAAGTTGGTTTAGGCATTTCGGGTCGCTGCTGGTTGGAGTTGTTATGGTTCGGTTTGATTTCACATAGGGTGTCTAAAGTCACGTAATAGTAGTGTCTTCCGACTTCCATTGTGAGATTGACTCCGTATCTTGGTTGGACGGAGAAGGGGCGCCATTAGTTAGAATAATAAAACTCGTGGATAATAAACATCTACCAGGTGCTATTGTGGGCCCCATGTAATCTAATCAGCACCTCCTCTTCCAACTCATTGTGGGCCTTTGAGCCCATGGAAAATTCCACACACCCAAACATTGGACGTGAAAGCAACCAATCTGAAATATCTCTTCTGATTGGGTGATGTACATATAATCTGATCCGTGCTTACGTTTACTAAATTTTTGTAAGCCATATGAATTTGCAAGGCCACAGATGAAGCACATAGATATTCTTGTTTCTATTGCAAAACAATAATACTAACAGTAGCTGTTGATGCAAGCTATAGGCTAACATCGCAAAATTATTTGGTTGCATGCGTTGTCATAAATGCAGTTATGAAATACTATGATTTTTCTCTTTTACTAGTTTTTTAGTGGTGGTGTTTAATTTCTAGATCCAACTAGGGATAATAAACTTGAAATTCGGTTTGATAAAACTCACTTGAGTTGATTTAATAAATTTATCGAGTCAAGTTACCGAGTTCTTATATAAATAAACCGAGCTTAGTCAATTTTTGAGTCAGTTTTATCGATCAACTAATAAGTGAGTTCAATAAATCAAAATTAATTAAACTTACATGAAAATAAAATAACCTTGTTTTAGTTTGGTAAATTTTGAGTTTGACTTTTTGAAATTATTAAACCGAATTCAAGCTACGATTTATGAGCTCGAGCATATCTTTATTGAATCGAGTTCAGCTAATAGGTATTAGCAAATAAATCTTATTTTGTTGGTTAAAGTTTTTTTTTTTTAGAATTCCTAATTTTGATCACAAATACACAACTTTTAATTTATCCTAGAAATGATTTATAAAATATAATAATAAAAAAAAAAAGATAAGGTTGAGAGATACCAAATTATGAGTAGAACCGCTCAAAATTAATTTCACCGTAATAGTTTATTCCTTACATATATATCTGTATATAAATATATGAAAGCTGAAACAAAGAGAAAACTTGAGGCGTTATTTTAATGATTAATTTAGGAGAGAAATATTTAATATACATATATATATACATATAAATTTTCATTTTTTTTTTTTTTTTTTTTACAAAGAGAAACTTGAGCCCATAAGTTCACACATTTAGGAGAGAAATATTAATATACATATATATATACATATAAAATTTTCTCATCTTTTTTTTTTTTTTTTTTTTTTTTTTTTTTTACATTTCGATTAGATTACTTGAGATATATTTTAAGTAAGTTGGTCATAAAAAATTATTAAGATAAAGTCCAATAAAATACGATATTCATAAGAGCTTTTTAGATTTATTTTTATAATGTTAAAATAAAAATATTTTATTTTAAAAAATAATTTCAATATATCAATCAAAATAAATATAAAATGTAATTATATTATTCAAATATGACTATAATATATCTTATTATTTGTGGTTATTGGAACTCATTTGAATTTAAAATGTTGCGGAGACAAATCTATTTAATTTAGTACCTTTGTATATAGGTTTAATTCATTGGTAAAATAAATGATGAATTAGTATTTTTTTTATTATTGTATTTAATGATGACAGCAGATTATAAACCTCATGTGAGTAACACATTATTAACTAAAATCATGAGATAATACATAAATAAAAAGATATATAATTAAAATTTATATAAAAAAATTGAATATAAAAATTTCAATAATCCTTCTTTTGATGTACATCCTTTTATAAAATTTCAAATAATCAATTTTATCTTTGGAGATTTTAAATATAATTAATTATACAATATAATTAATTATACAATATTTTATAATAACAATTATTTAAATAAAATATAAAAAATTTGCGCGGATCATGACTAGTATATATATAATCCTGAAGAAAAAAAAAAGAAAAACTTTACAAGTATGACGTGTCACTCTCCTCTTTCACAATTTCTTTTTTTTCTTTTTTTTGTTTACAAATTTTTTTAATTTTTAATTATTTACCTTTTTTTCATAAATTAATATTTAATAATTAACCGTGATAATGACAATTTCTGAAATCTAAACTAATTTTATAATTTTTTTTATATTTTTAAAATGTTAAAATTTTAATTATTTATTATCTTTATCTCCTACTATATAATGTGTTATATCAACAACATAAATTTTTTAAAAGTTTCAAATTCTTTTATATATAAAATTCAATATGCTTTAATTTCAGGGTAGAGATTTTTGAAAGCAGCTAAATGTAAAAGTGTTAGTAATAGAAAAATCATGTTTTAAAGTGAAGCAGTCGTTCATCATCTACCAGGTTTCAATTTTTCGCACTTCTAAATTTTAGATTCTCGTTATCACAGTTTGATGTTCAGTTTTTTCGTTGTACTTGAATGAGTTGTTGTTGATATAAAATACAATTGATTGTTCGTTTTCTTGATTTGGGATCTACTTAAATTAAACTTAATGGATTTCTTCATTCGTGGTAGATATTATGACGTTGTTTATTATAATTAGTATGGTTTAATTTATGGTTACACATAGCTTTCCGCTTTCTCATACTTATAATTAATTTTTTTCATTGGTTTAGAATTCAAATTAATGTTAATTACTTTTCTTTTCTTTTTTTTTTTTTTTTTTTTTTTTTTTTTTTTTTTTTTTTTTTTTTTTGGCAGAAATCTTTTTCTCTTTGCAATCTTAAGTCCATCGAAGTAAGTAACTCATTGCTTTGCTATTATATTATGATTATAGAGTTTTCTTCTTGATTTGTTGATGCATTCCTGTAACTTTTTTGTTTTTATTTTATTTTATATGGTTTTTTTAATTTAGTTAAATTAAATTAAATCTTAATTTAAGCTGTATCTTTCTTTTTTCTTTTTTCTTTTTAGAAATTTTCATATCATAAAATCATTCATTTATCATTTTTATTCATCTAGCATTTACTCTATTGTTTAAAAAGTATTGATTAGTTTCTTCAAAAAAAAAAAAAAAAGTATTGATTAGGACTTTTAAAATATAATTCTATCTATATTTATCTATGAATTAACTTGCAAATCAATTTTTTAACTATTAAATCATCTATTCTCTTTTTATCTATGGATTGGCTTGCAAATCAGGTTTTGAAAAGAATTCGATCCTGGCTCAGGATGAACGCTGGCGGCATGCTTAAAACATGCAAGTCGGACGAGAAGTGGTTTTTAAGAGCGCGAATGAGGTAAATGCAAAGCAGCCAATTAATTCTTTACTTATGTACAATTGGTTATTAAATTTTTAGGTTCTGCATGAGTTCATAATAATTTCGGAATTGTATGTTATTTATAAATCTGTAATATATTCTTTATTGTTTCAATTTAGGTTTTAGCATATGTTTTTATCTAATGTTCTAATGTTTGATATATAAATTTATATTTCAATTTAGTTTTAGCATATGTTTTTTATCTAATGTTCTAATGTTTGATTATATAAATTTATATAATTATATAATATATAATCCCATTCTATATATTATTGCTCAAAATCAAGTGTAACAGCTTGATGATATCTTAAAAGTTTTTACACTTTTAATCTTTTATTTAAAGTTCTACGTATCTTTCATTTTTTTTTAATGAGTAGTATTGTTCATATAAAAAAAAATGATATATAATAAGGAAATAAATCGGCGCGCAATGCAGGCCTTTATATAGTTATTAATTAAAGTCTAAACATTATAGTTGCAATACAGTAATTATTTATTTTCTCTTTTTTTCTCAAATATTTTGTGACAGAAATAGGCTTAAAGGAACATAATAGAGCAGACTCATATGAAGCTGTATCCACGGCCAAATAGCAGTGTCCTTAGCAAATATAAATTTTCAAATGCAATTATGAAACTGTCATAATAGACAGATTAAAAGAAAAATCTTTAACGGAATCTCAACCAAGAAAATCGGGCTGATTGAATTTAGAAATGCAAGAAATAGAAAGAATGAAAGGCATTCCTTCTGTGGAAAGAGAAATATCAGCTCTCATTTGGCAATAAAAGGCGATCTTGACCTTCCACTAGCTTCGCAGATTGGATTACATCCCCAGTTTTTATCTGTGAAAGGATGTCTCTCCCAGTAGTTGAATATCTGCTCATTTGAACAATGTGAAATCAAGTAAACTAAATGAATCATTCCATTAAACACCCTATATTAAATATGCTAACAAGAAAATAATCCTCTAAAGACGTACCCAAAAACTGAAAATTGTCCTTCATCAAAGGATAAACCTCCTAAGCCAGCCTATAAGAAAACAAACAAGAGCAGCAAAGCAATTACTTTATAGGCACGCATGGAAATTTTAATGAAAGAATCATGTCATTTACACCAGAAATTATATAGCATGTTACTTAGATGTAATTATGACTTATAAACTTTATTGTTTTAGGGATAATATCATTTTGAAAGGGAAAATTGGATAGCACTTACATTTCTTTTATCATACAGATAGAAGAAAAACTGATAGGGCGCCGAGTACTCATCAGAAACCTCACTGTGAGCCATTGCAACTGCTCCATAAACAGAGAGTGGAAGCACCGGTAATTCCCCATCCTTCCATATGATAAACGAAGAAAATAAAAATAGTTAGATATTGAGAAACTACATTTGCCATAAGTATCTAAAATTGGAAATGTGATCCTAGCTTACCTGTACGCTTAATGTTGTTCGGTACAAGGGCTCAAACTGTCCTGATGGCATTATTTCCAGTGGAACACTGTAACCAGCGCTCTTATCATTCCCATTGTCTGTGAGAACAGCTTGGTCAGTGCAACTGAGTTTTGTCCCATTGTAGGCCCCATCAATTACCTGAACCATTTTCTGTTAGTAATTTGTGTGCATAAGCAGGCACATAGTGTCCGTAGACCTAAAAGTCTCATTATGAAAATTTAATTTCATAAGATCAAACCTAAAGCAAGCTATCGGAAGGAAAAAAGAAATAAAGATTGAGATGATCAAACTAGAACTGAGAGGGAAAGATAAAGTTCCAGTAATTGGTGTTTTAGACTTCTTCAAAAGGTATGCTAAATCATCATTACTTGTCATGAAAAATGATAACTGGGATGAAATTAAATGTGATTGATAAAGCAATACAAGCCAAGATTCCATGAGACTGAGGTGAGGTTCAACTACCTTACCAGTTTTGCAAAATTCCCGGTGGTTAAAGGTGCTGAATATCCATCTAGAACAACCTGAATCCATGGGTTAATGATCAGTTGGTTACAAATATATGGAAAATAAATGCTGTAAGTTATATGTATCCATGTTACCAATGCTGATATTTATTTAGGCATGATGTTCAGGCCATAACAAAAAATTTTCTTTGCTGGATAGCCATGAGAGAAAAAGAAAATGCCCCACCTCAAAACACTATGATAAATTATACAGCCATCTATTAGTGCAAAGAAAACAAAAAATATAATCCAAGAGACCCTGCAACGTGTCCCGTTTTCTGGCTCAATTAAAAATATAAAGGACTATGGTACAAAGTAGTTGTAAATGATGTGGCTAGGTTTCGGCATAATTGAGAGATTGGGTAAGGAAAGAGCAAGGGATATACTAGTTCCTCAAATTCCTTGGCATGATTGAATGAATTAAAATGCAAATAATAATAATTGGGTCCAAGAACTATACACTAGATAAAAAATAATAAATAAATAATTGCTTATCCACAATTTGCAAAATCCAAGGAAAATGAAAAATCATTTAAATCATGCGGTGCGATACTGAAACAAAATTGCATACAAATTAAGATTTTAAGGTCATATCTCTTAATTGAATTTAGTTTTCTACTCAGTTAGCCATGCCATCATTTTCGTTTTTCTAAAGGGAGATGGTGTCTGGGTTGGATGAAGGCAAAATCAATTCATTGTAAAAGCAGTACTAACCTAAAGCAGTAAGTTAATACAGAGTTAAATATGTAAAATATGATTTAGGCAGCAAATGATCTCAGCAATTATAAACAGCAATATTCTTTATATTGAATAAAAATAACATGACAACACTGGCTTGTCACATTCCCTAGGAATGACTAAATTTATCAAACCTGAATTTTTGCAGTCTTCCTTGGTTCCCCACCAGCTTCAGGGGAAAATGTGGAACCGTCTCCTTTCTCAATGGTAAATTCTACAGTTCCTCTTCCTGTTAGTCTGCAGAGAAAATAATCTTAAGTTTCCAATTTGATTGATAAACAATATACCTTTTAGACATAACAAAGCCTGTAATATGTAAATCAGATAAGTCAATTGCATAAAGAAGTCAAAGAAACAAATTAGCTATAATCTCCAAAAAATAAAAAACTGAGGTTATGCAAACCGACTACCAACTATAATAGACAAATCTTTCAAACAAAGAAGTTAGCAAGCGAAAAACATGAAGGGAAAATTTTCAATAATATGCAAAATTTGTCCAATTTTCATGGAACATTCCACGTGCAACAGATACAATAATCCAATGCATTGACAGTTCCATTTGTTCATTATAACTAACTTTAACTCTTCTATAATTCACATTTTGTTTTTATATGCCTTGATCTATAATGAAGCGTAGGTAGCCACCTCAAAATTTTGAACTTATTTTATGTAAGAAGGAAGACAAGTAGATAGGAAATCGAGAATCTTGGATAACCAGATTTAACCACTACAAAAGTTTGTAGACACCACCAACCATGTTAAGAAATGTACTTGGCAAGAAAAATACACAATAATTATTTTTCAATTCAAAAATAGAATCATTCTTATATCACCATGAATTTATCTTAGCTTTTACTTATCATATGGATATCATATTAGAATCAGATTGAACAATCCAGATAGTGCTAAAATCAGATTCATCAAAATCATTTCCACCAGACACCCGTCCATTGGTTTATGCATCCTAGTTGTAACAGTGAATGAATCTAGAGTATAATCCCAAAGTGATCCAACCTTGGATATTTCAAGTATTGCTCGGGCAACAAAAATGACAATCCAGGGGCCTGTTACAAAAAAAAAAAAAAAAAAAAAATGAAAATCTAGAGTATTAAAATCCAAAGTGAGTCCAACCTTGGATATTTCAAGTATTGTACGGGGCAACAAAAAAATGACAATCCAGTGGCCTGTTAACAAAAAAAAAAAAAAAAAAAAAAGTTTAGTTGAATTTTCCAAGCAATGCTCAATTTAATGTCATTGAATATCTTCAGAGTAAAAATTGAGCAGATTTCCTTTAAAAAAATACTAAAAAAAAAAAAAAAAAAAAAAAAGTTTAGTTGAATTTCCAAGCATGCTCAATAATGTCATTGAATTCTTCAGGTAAAAATTGCAGATTTCCTTTAAAAAATACTAAAGAATATGCGTCAGAAATTTTGGAGAGTTGCACATATATCACATGAGAAGAATCATAGTGTTGCCGAGAAGTCCTGGTTACCTGCAGCAATTCAAGCTCTGCAACAGTATCCAGTGAAGAAGCAAGCCCAACAGAAACTTTATCCGGGTCCTGGTCCTTAATACATTGAAGGAGTGCTTGCAAGCCACCCTAACCAAAAAGGTGCAAAACCATTAGTCCACTAAATTCCACCATATAGAAACTGAATATCTTGTTATTAAATAACCAGAATAAAGTTCTTATTGCTAATCCAACAAACTTTCCAAGATAAATCATCTCTTAAAGGGTTAAGTAATTTAGACGCTGTAATATACTTTTTTCCCCCCTGCTTGGCACTTGTCAGATAGCAAAATTGACACAACATCCAGAAATCGCTATCATTTTATCTTCCAGTAATAAGATGTTGATTTCTGGCCATGCTCTTGTGATTTATTCAACCCATGAAAAATATAACCAAGTGGACTCTATCATCTATTGAAGTCGATATCAAAACCAGTTTGAGATTGAGTAAAAAATAACTTTCATCCAATGTTCAAAAGCATGTACTTGTGTGCAGGTGTCTGATTGTGTGTTTGTACAAACACAAATGCCTATATATATGCTGTACGCATGTGTCCATGGACATGTGCACGTATGTATTCTTTTCAGTCAACCAACCCTAGCCTTCTAGTTAGCATATATGAGCCGATGGAAAGAAAAGAAGATATAACACTATGTAGCTCTCTCACCTATAAAAGCTAATAATCTTCCAAAGTGCCTTCCCATACCTTTCCGTCAATGAGAGATGCATACAATTCAGACCCCTTTTCCTTCAAATCTGCTGGTATACTTGCCAAAATAGAATCTTTTTCATCTTTTGCTATCTGAAATTAATGTAGAAACAAATCGTTACGAAAACATTTATATTAAGCAATTACGCAGATTATGTCGGAAACGAAAAAGAGATGATAGAAGAACTGATGCCATCAAAATTAACAAAACTATGTAGATGAAGTTTGTACATGCAACTAATGAGACAGACATGGTCCGAGTAGCAGAGTTGTTTCACAAAAATAAGTTATGGTGATTGGACAGCACCGATATGATACTATGAACTTCTTATTACATTGTATTGAAACAATGCAGCGCATACTTTTAGTGCTTTCTTCACATTCCCTTCCATGGTTCCATAAGGCTTTCTCTGTGGAATCCTTAGTAAGAATGAAATATCCTCCAGAGAAGTCTGCAAACAAAAGGTAAGATTATCAGCAAATTGATCACTCTCTCATTTGCAGGAGATAATTATGAATTGAACAATTAACAAGAACCTGTATAGCCTTCATATTTGTGTTTGCAGGGATAGCCCTTCTCAGAGCAAGTTCCCCAGTTCTTGGGACCTTGGTGTCTGGAGAATAAAGCACTCCTTCTGCTGGAGAAATTGACCAAAAGTCCCAATCAACCAGAGGTAGTGGTGAAGCAATTTGCACGACAATAAGAATCACGGCAATCAGCCTCTCAAGTTTCTTCATTCCATGCTTAATAATTGATGTGTATAAATTAGTAGGAAAACCTTGCCTGTAAGCCACATCCTGCATGGCTGAAAATCCATTTCATAAAAATATCTTGCCAAGGGAATTATAGTTTTTTTAGTTTTTTGTCCCACTATGTTTATAACAAGCATGTTGGAAGACCCTAAGGAAAGGAAACCAGCAAATTCATTCTAACCCTCCTCAACATGAAAGTTGGTGGAAGCAAAGTAAAACAAAAGAATTTATTGAGCGTCCATAAAACAAGGTATAGCTACTTAAAACAAGTTGTATTTTGAACTGCCCCAGTATAAATACAGCAGGAATAAGTCAATATTTTCATCAAATGTCATTTGATCACCATGGGAAAATAATGAGACATAATAAAGTGGGGATATAAATTTATTCTTATCTATTGCTCTATATGGACTCGAGCCAATATACTGCTAAAAGATTCATATAGCTGACCCCAACTAATTTGGGACTAAGGCTTAGTTGTTGTTGTTGTTGTAATAAAGAGGGGGAAATTAGACTTCTCGGAATTGAATCCTCTCACTTCCTATGAAAAGAACATTTATTCAGAAATGGAATTCTAAAAATACATGATATTTGAATTATGCAGAGGGTTCAAATTAAAGGAGCCTGCATATGAACCATTTCATTAAGTAATCATGGAATTACACATCCGACTCACCAGATAGACTCACAATAAGATATTAGAACCAACCTGTAGTCATGTTCATGTACAATCATGGAAGACATACTCATGTTCCTGAACCATGGAAGACTTACACAAACAAAAAGGTGCTTTCCCATAATCACATACATTTCTTTACAAAGAGGCAAATCATCAAATACGTAAAGAAAAGACAAGTCTACCCATTACAAGAGGCAGACTATGAATGACATAAAGGAAACCTAAGTCTACCCAAGTGCCCAACCCACATAAAACGGACTGCCACAAAATTGGGGTATAACTTGCTAGGGCTTAATGCTGGCATAAATACTATTATTGACATTTTATCAAAATGGCACATACTAGAATGTTCTTGATTGGCATAAATTCCTCTGTGACACACAAACTCACAACACACTCCGAAATTCCATTCAATACGGGTAGGCACTTGACAATTAGACTAATTAAAAAAAAAAGGAAAAAGAAAAGAAAACACCCTTTTTACATTTTGCATTTTATCTGACGCATAAATGTACCGTTTGCAACCAGATAAGCATAATAAGTTCGACTTTTGGTTGCATTCTAGACATTAAATTAGAACTCTTTGTCCATACTTGCAAGCAACAATTCCATCAATTAACAACCAAAATCTACAAAAGACCCAACGCATAAAGCATAGAAATGCAATAACAGTATCAAAAGCAAAACACGAAATATTATCAAAAGCCAACCTTTGCATAATTCTGTGTAGACTTGCAGCGAACTCTAATGTGGCCGCCATGTCTGGCTGTTGCTGTGACGTGGCCACGGCCTTGATCGAGACGAAATGCGAAATGGGTAGAGAAAAAATGGTGCTTTTGAATTGAGACAGTGACAGAGAGCTTGTGAGAGTTGATAATGGAAGAGGATAAAGGGAGAGCCATGACTTGAAATTGATGTATGGTAGTTACCTTTGTGAGAGCGAGAGAGGTATTTTGGCGCGCCTCATCTATCTATACAATCCTATCTGGATGTTTCCTATTGGCCATGCTTTCTTTTTCTTTTCTTTTTGGCCTTTTCTCTCTACGTACTATTAATTTTCTTTGTTCATCTAAAAAATATTTAAGGGTAATCCAATAATAATTATTATTTTAAAAAAGAGTATTTACCGCAGAATCAATTTTAACAAATTTCGAAAAAAAAAAAAACAATATTACGAAAAATTTCTGTTATCATCCTATCGAAAAATGACTAACGACTAACCTTTTCCGCTAAAATCATATCTAAATAAAATATTTTAATTTTATATATTTGTATTTTTTATTTTTATAAGAACATTATGTTGCTATTTATATTAATGATTAATGAATTGTCTAATTTTCACAAAAAATTATTATAAAATATAGCATTAAATTATAATAATTTTTAATAACAATTAATTATTCATTTAGTGTATGGATAGATTATATACAGAGTATTTCTTATTTATAATTCAACTTCTAAGTAGTAATTTTTGAAATAATTATTCTTTTATATTTATCTCAACTTCGCTTTCTTCGTGAATGTGTTTTTGTGGAATAGGATTTATTATTTTTAAATAATTTAACTGTTATATTGATATATATAATTTTCTATTTATTTCCATTTAAAAAACTAAATGATAACTCTCGTTTAAAAAAAATAAACAATTACTCCCTACAATTATTTTTATGTATTGGTATTACTTTAAGAATATTAAGGAGTATATTTTTTCTTATTTTACTGTTATTTCTAAACAAATTTTTAAACTCCCTCTCAGCATTAGTGGCACATTAGTATAAATATATGACTTATCAAATTATCCTTAGACAATAAAAATATATAATATTTAATTATCAACAATATAATCTCATTTTTGACAATTTAATTATATAGTATTTTACTTGAAATACATTGAAAACAAACAAGTTAGTGAGCTACCTTGGAGCAACACAGAAAAAGTATAGGTTCAATCACGCGGTCAGATCAATGTCGCAAATCCCAATTACCATACATAGCGCAGCACTAGATCACCAGTAAGCAGTGAATCAAAGTTCACAACAACCGAAGAAGCGAGTGAATTCATATATACTCAAATTCAAAGCAAAGCTTTAGCAATAATAACTCACTCAACTTCTCTCTCTGCATCTATGTATATTTATCGATCTATGGATTGTCGAGGAAATCTGTAGATCGAGAAATGGCGAACTACTTAGCTCAGTTTCAGACAATAAAAAATTCTTGTGATCACATCGTAATTGCAGGTAAATTTCCGTCTCTCCCTCTCTCATTTGGTCTCACTTTTGCATTTCCTTCTTCGGATCAAGCTTTAATTTTTTAGGTTTCTCTGTTGATTTGGCTTCGCCATTGTTAATGCTAGAATTTTGGTAATAATTTGGGATGTTAAAGTTATGGGACAAGATTTGAACTGGACTTGAAGTGAAAGTAATTGATTTGGGATGAAGTAAGTTTGAGGATCCAATTATTAATGTGCTTAGTTGAGAGTTTGATTTGAGATTTTATGTTTGTACTAGACACGGCTTTTAAGCTGGACCTGCATTTTTGTTATTTGTTTATGAATGGACCTGTTTCACTTTGTTATCTCCTGGTTTTCGATTAGTCTTAGTGAAAGTAAACGGCTTTAGAAAAGGGTCTGTTTCTGCCAGCAAGTTTAAATGAATTCTGATACGAAATTCAATTGAAGTTAAACTAGTTTGTGAAAGTTTTTGTTATTATTATTTTGGAAATATGTTAAAATTTTAATGGGGCATGCCTCACGAGGGAAAAAATGTTGCTGAAAACCATAATGAGAGTAATAGTATTTTTTTTTTCTTTACCCTTGCCTGTACTCTTGATGTAATAGACGAGCTTCATTATGGTGCAATTGATAGCTCCATGATAGTTGAACTTTGGAAAACTGTGTTTTAGAGAGGAAACATTTGAAGACATAAACTAGAGAGAGGTGGAGTTGACTGTTTTGAATTTTACATGCTTTGGCGTTTATAGTCTTGTATTTTATGTAAGAACCTCCCTTTTTCTTCTTTCATCCAAACTGTGCTGCTACTGCAATCTGGTGTAAGGCTCCAATTCCTGACTCCTTCTGTATAAGCTATGCATCATTATATATATTGCTTGACTTTTTTATTTTAAATTTCTGCAACAAACTTTTTCCAGTTGAAGATGTAAGCGATCTTTGGCCCAATATCAAGGAAAGATTTGAGGAGCGACTGCCATTTAAGAGAGCTTGTTTGAATAACAAGACACGTAACCCTGTTTTTGTCGAAAGTCTGCCTGCTGAATTCATATTAACCACAGATGCAAGGCTCCGTAGTCGGTTTCCTCAGGAGCAATCGTTATTCTGGTTTCGAGAGCCATATGTAACCGTGGTTCTTGTCACATGTGAGGTAATTTGCTGTAACATTGGCCTCGTTCATACGTTCTGATGTAAATTTTCTAAAACTAGGTTATGCTAGTGGGTTTCATTTTTATCACTCTAGAAAGAACGTAAAATATTATAGTTTGCTTACATTATTCCTTGTCATTTATGGTTGGTGATTTGTCTCTTCTTATGCGTTTGTGCACAATTATGTAATCTCTAACTTTCTTGCTCTACTATGTTCATGTCTTCTCTAGGATCTTGATGAGTTCAAAACCATTCTTAAACCACGCCTCAAATTAATTGTCCAAAATGACGAACGGGAATGGTTTATTGTGTTTGTATCTAGAGCTCATCCAAGTAATGATAATGCCACAAAAATGGCGAAAAAAGTATATGCCAAGCTTGAAGTTGATTTTAGCTCAAAGAAAAGAGGGAGGTAAACTTTCAGCACTGGATAGGAATCTTTTTGTTCGATTGATAGGTTGATGAAAATCATCAAACATTATTTCTTTCCTTCACATTTTTTTGTTTGTGTGCTTTATTACTAAATGTTGGAATTTAAATGCAACCACTGCTAATCGGCTATGTTGCATAGACATGAATACAGGAATTGTTTATGACACAAAATGGACATGCCAATACAGCTATTCTTAAACAATTAGGATATGACATAGGGGAGAAACATTAATAAAAAATATTTATTGCACAACAAGATGTAAATGTGGTTTCTTTGAGGATGAATGTGGGTGAGGACTGTGATTGGGCCTTTAGCCATCGTTCCTTGTGCTCTTAAGAGAGTGTTATACACACATGCCTGGGGGCAAAAAGCAAATGTGATAGATTGTTGCCTCTTCATTCCAAGGCTTGTGGCATCAACAATGGTAGTAATTTTTTTTCCTCTCTTTCTCTCTCTTTTTCTTTTCTTTTCTTTTCTTTTTTTTTTTTTTCCAACCCTTTTTTGACTTTATTGTGCACAACTTAAGATGTAAAATGTGGTTTTCTTTGAGGCATGAATTGTGGTGAGGGACTGTGATTGGGCCTTTAGCCATCGTTCTTGTTGCTCTTAAGAGAGTGTTATACACACATTGCCTGGCGGGGCAAAAAGCAAATGATAGATGTTGTCTTCATTCCAAGGCTTGTTGGTATCAACTTTGGTAGTAATTTTCTTTTACTCTTCTTTCTCTCTCTTTTTTTTTTCTTTTCTTTTCTTTTCTTTTTTTTTTTTTTCCAACCCTTTTTTGACAGGAGTGGGTGGACATTGTTAATAAGCCAAATGAGGGAGCTACAAATACTTGTTAGATTTTGGTTTCATAATGAATTTTTGATTTTTTCGGAATACAAGGGGAATGAATGATTTAAATAATAAAGCAGTAGCAGAAAATCTTTTCAGGGATTTTCAATAAAATAAAAATATTCTTGTCACCTACCTCAAAATTGACTCAATTTGCTTTAGGAAACTGGATAGGAGGTGCCGTAGGAGGTGTTTTGGCACATATATTTAGATCAAAGTTTTGTTTGCATGTTATTGAAACTGGGCCATGCAGCTGTAATGTAACGATCATGGCTTGTTGCTACAATATTTTTTAAATTTTTGGCATGAAGATTGTAAATGCATTAAGTGGATAAGGAGTTCACTGAAATTAAGAAATGCATAAACACATAAATGAATCAAATAAAGACATTGCATTCATGGTCTATACTATAACAGGTCAACTTAAGTAACTAGAACCAGAAAGAGACAGAGATTTAACAAATTACCTTATCATTATAACCATCCCTGTGGATTCTGGATCATGCTGTTATTGCAGGTGAAAATTAAATAAAAATCTTTCCATATCAAGCTAAAATTCCATGTAGCAGGACTTTTGAAGGATATAGGTTCAAGAAGGATAAAAAAAAAAAAAAAAAAAAAAAAAAAAAAAAAGAGAAATGTTTGTGGATGAAGTATTTGACAGCTTGCATGGCTGGTTGTTTCAGGTTTAGGATTTATTGGTTTTTGCTAGAAAGCTGCGTATCTGTGGGTTAAAAAAAAAAAAAAAAAGAGAAATGTTGGCTGGATGAAGTATGACAGCTTGCATGGCTGGTTGTTCAGGTTAGATTTTTGGTTTGCTAGAAAGCTGGATCTGTGGGTTTATCAGAAACCTCTAATTATAATTATATAATGAATTAGGGGTTCATTAGCTAGAATGAATACAACCTAGGTAAACAACCAAACACCTGTAACCAAGAGTAACTAAGGAGCAAATAGTGCTGTGAACAGTAGTAGCATGTGAATAGTAAAATGGAGAAGTTTAGGCTTCCCAAGTGAACGTTCTAGATATCATACTTAGTATTAAATTGCGCCACATTAACACAAAGAAACATAATTCCTGGAATTTTTTTGACTAAAAACTGAATTTGTAGGCATTGCAATCATAGTTACTTATAGCCTCGAATTGATCTTAAAAACCTTCAAAATGCTAAATTGTAAAACTAGTCCTAACCCTCTGAAGTTCTGAACAAAAATAAATTCCTAAAGGACATCCGATCAATATTTCAAACAAAGCTGGAATCCATGAAAGTACCCTTGAGACTGAAGATATCATATGGGAAACTAATTTATTTACTATTTAGGTAGACATATAAATTTTACAAAGAACTAGAAAGTAATCTATAACGTCCCATATATACCCTATATTAAATCTTGATTTTCTTGGATCTTCTTGTTGTCTGCATTGGGGAGCAAAAGTTGGAAATGGCCCCCCCCAAAAAAAAAAAAAAAAAAGAAAAAGAAGAAGAACTTCTTCTGTATAGGTAGCAGTTGTTATGGCTATTGATGATATCATGTTTATTTATTGCCCTTGCCTTTGTTTTGCCTGATTTACATATGGCATAATGGTAGTGGGGCCATGACCTGCTATCTAAAACCATACTTCATGCTAGGATTATTTTATGTTTTGGTTATTTCCTCTTTCAAACAACCTTTTCCAATTTAGGGTTTTAAGTTTCTTGGTTAGAGACAAAGTAGCTTTACTGGAATCAGGTTTCTTCAGTGCTTGCCAGTTTACATCAGGTTTGACGGTGGTCTCTTGGTTTTGATCAGGTTGATTCCTGGTCAACACGTGGTTAACTGGACTGGACCACTAACCAGTTAGATTGGATATTGTGGTCCAGTTTTCTGACATCAACAAAAGAATTAGTGAAATGTAAACGTGGAAAGTTTTGCTAGCGTTTATGGATGTTTCTAAATGGGAAAGCCTTTAATGATGAGTTAAGAGTGGAACAGAAGAGCACCTAAAATTTTGGAGAAAATGGATGTTTCGGAAGTTAAGATTAACTTGATCAAATAAATGTTGAGAGTACTTGCATATGGTTTTGATATTTTGTACATGGGTGCAGTTTGATGAATTTCTAAGAAACATTGGGCTTTCTACATTCCCCTTTAAATCTGTCTCACTTTTTTTATCTGGAAATCAAGATAGAGAATGCATTTGTTTACATACTTGTGAATGTTGTTCTTAAAGCATCATCTATGGGAACTAATGCACTGCATAATTGGGTTTGCGGCCAACTCTTGTTTTTCCCTCCCTTATCTGTTTCTGTCAATAAAATGCTTTTTTCATTTTTCATGCCATGGGGTACACTTTTTCTCCCTCCCCTTAGAGTGTTCTAAACCTTCTGCTTTATCCAGGTGCTGTAAATTTGATTTTCATGGCCCTGAAGCGAATTTTTGGGAAGATCTGGAGTCCAAAATTATGGAGTGTGTAAGAAATACATTGGATAGACGCGTACAATTTTATGAGGATGAAATACGAAAGCTCAGTGAACAGCGCTTCATGCCAGTTTGGAACTTCTGTAATTTTTTTATTTTGAAGGTTGATCCTTTTCTCAATTCCCCTTGACCAGGCTAATGTGATAAGGGGGCTATGGCTACAAGAATTTCTGATTTGAATGAGAGTTGGTCACTGCCATGTTTAGCTTTCTCCTTTCTCATGTAGATTAAAATTATTTTGCGAGGCATATTTTTGAAACGATTTCTTCCTTAAGAGCATTACATTTCTGAATTTCCATGAAATAGCAAAATTGCAATTTTTCCCACTGAGATAGGGAGCCTCTTCTTTCAGAGATCTTTTGCTTCCTTGTGTATATATATGTACACACACATAAATATTAATCTGTTTTGGCTACTTCTGGTCATTTATTCTTCGGTCTTTAAAATATATGTTCTGTTCAGGAGAGCCTGGCTTTTATGTTTGAGATGGCTCATCTTCATGAAGATGCACTATGTGAATATGATGAGCTAGAGCTCTGTTATCTTGAAACAGGTACCTATGCATCTATTTATGCTACCTATGCTATCTTGAAACATTTTTAACTAGCCTTTTTATCATGTGCACTATACTCGTATATTTTCTTATTAGCATGTTTTTATTTAAATACTAAACATAATTCTTATTTATTGTTAAAAATATAATCTTTTATTTGGTAAAAATAAAAGTATATCATTCTGTAAAAATTAATTACGATCAAATGAAAAACTATAATGTGATTGAAATTTTATTTTGGCATGCGCAAATCGTATAATTTCGTTCAAGTCTCAAAAATTAATTGATATCAACCAAATATAGAACAAAACTTAGTTTGTTTTAAAGATGTGTTTGCAATATTTGTGCATAGGAAGAATGAATAAAAGATTACATGTCTAAAAATAATAATGAAAAGAACATATATTAAAAGTATCCTTTGACCTTTTTTTCTAAATGTACCTGCTTCTATGCTTGTATGATATTGAAAATATGTACATCCTGTTTTTATAAATATCCAATGAAATTAAGTAGATGTACCTTTCCTTCATTGTTATACTTGTGAGTTGTGACAGCAGATGCACCTTTCTATTTATGTTTCAATACTTTCCTTTCCTTTGTATTGTTGAGGAATAATGGGTCAATTTATTCCAAAAAAGCAGTTAATGTAGCTGGGAAACAGAGAGACTTTGGAGGAATAGACCACGGTGATGATCGGGCAGCACTGCTCAATCCTGGAAACAAACCTCTGATGCAAATTGTTCAAGATGACTCCTTCAGAGAATTTGAATTTAGGCAGTATCTCTTTGCTTGTCAATCAAAGGTGTGGAGAACTGGCATTTACTTGAAGTTCTTAAATACATTGCATGAGACAAACTCTATAAGATCCTTACTCCAAAAGGAAAAGGAAGAATCTCTATTGCTTTATGAACTATGCAAAGTCTGTTTATATATAAATGCTATTGCTGCTTCCTTTTCTAGTGGGTTTGTAATTCTTTCTTCGAGTAATTGAATCTGCTGAGGGTGGATGTTTTTGTTAAATGATTTTTAATATTTTTTCATCTCTCTCTCTCTGTGCTTGTGTATGTTTAAATATACAAATTGAATACGAAGCACATTGGTACCTTTGCATAAGAGAGATATACCCACACCTTTAAGTGGTGCTAATATATTACATAATAATTTCTGGCAATCTACTGCTATAGATATCAATGTGGAACTACCAAAATTTTTTACTTTCTGTTTATATGAAATTTGGGTAGATTTTTCAGATGCCAGAAGTGGTTTACAAAGTGATGCAAAGGCACAGTGGTACATATAAAGAGAGATATACCCACACCTTTAAATTCGGCTAATTTGTTACATAATATTTCAGGCAATCTACTGCTTTAGATATCAATGAGGAAGAATCCAAAATTTTTGACCTCCTGTTTATGTGTGTTTGAGTAGATTTTTTAAATGCCAGAAGTGGGTCTTCCAGTGCATGTACTTGAGGAGTACAGAAATTACGGTGTTCTAATGTTCTGATGCTGAAAAATGAGAGATTCCTCACCAATAAATGTTTATCTCACTGAAAGTTTACATGAGAGTTTTATTATCAAGTACTGTTAAATATTTACTTTTCTCTGCACCTGATGACTTCTTCCTCTATGTTTGCACTGCAGCTTTTGTTCAAACTGAATCGACCCTTTGAGGTGGCATCGAGGGGTTATCGATTTATAATCAGCTTCTCTGAGGCCCTTACCCTGCATGAGGTATTAGATAGCCATTTTATATAAATTTTCTCGATGCTTACTGACATGATTATTTAAACTTTATTTGGATGCTATCATTTCTCATCTGTTCTCCTGTTTCTCCTTCCCCCTCTTTTCTCGGATTGTCTTAGACTATGTTGCCTTTTTGTCTGCGAGAAGTTTGGGTAATAACTGCTTGCTTGGCTATAATCAACGCCACTGCTTCTAATTATAATGATGGGGTTCTGGCACCTGACATTGAAAAAGAGTTCTACCGTCTTCAGGGTGATCTTTATTCGCTATGTCGAGTAAAGGTAAACTTATCTCTTCTTTCAGTTGTTTAATTATTTACCCTGTGATGCAACTATCTTCTATATTTTTAAAACATGTAACCAAATTACTGTAAAAAAAAAAAATATTTGGTTATCTCAGTAACTGTGTGGGAGTTTGCTTGATGCTACTAGAATTTTCCTTTTCCATAATTATCTGGTGCCTCATAAAGGACTTTTAAGGAATTTTAATTACAATTTGGCAGTTCATGAGGCTTGCGTATTTAACTGGGTACGGAGCATATATGGAAAGGAGTCCAGTAAACAGGTGAAAATCGAACCTTGAAGAGATAACTTACTTCTGAGCTTTCTTTCCTTCCTTTTTTTTTTTTTTTTTCTTCCTTTTTTTTTTTATTTTTCACTTGTTCTTGATCATAAGATATATGGAATATAGATATAACATGATTTGTTATCTGTTACAGTGACATTGTTTTTTATAAGGTATCTCTTCACATTCTGATTAGAACCATGATTATAAAATTTCTTTTTTTTTCTTTTTTAATAATATAATATATAGAGCAGTGGCTTTCTCATAGATAGATAACTTGGCCTAACCTGCAGTTTTGGCTTACAAGATATAACTAGACCTTTTCCTCAGGTGCTTGTGAAGAGAGATTTTTTTTTTTTTTTTTTAAATTTTTGAGCAGTGCTTCTCTCAGCATGCTACCTTGGCCTAAACCTGCAGTTTGGCCTTCAGTTCCACCTGACACTTCTCCTCAGGTGCTTGTGAAGGAAAAGGTAAATTTTGAGGTGGTGGTTCCAAATATGGAGTTGAAAGGATAACAGGCGTGTGTTTTTAATGTGAACTACATTATTTTGTGCTTTTTATGACATATAACATGATGAATTATTTAACTTTTTCTTATTGTTTCAAGTGACAACCATGAAGTTTGTTTTAGATTAAAAAATAAAATGTAATGAATTTGAACTTGAAGGCAATTGCTGGAACATCTATGAGCTGACCCGTATTGATGGCCACACCAAATGGTTCAGGGTTTTAGATGGAGCCTTCACTTTTCTCTTCTTATTGAAGAATGACTTTCTTTAAGTTTCCATTAAAGTATCACTGACCATTTTATCTCTGTGTAGGCGGTCCTTCAAGCTACTCCTAGGATTAAGCACTTTGGCATTCAAAGGAAACCATTGCCTCTTGAACCTTCTGTACTTTTGCGTGAGGCAAATCGGCGGAGGGCATCACTTTCTGCTGGGAACATGTTTGAAATTTTTGATAGCCACTCAACTTTCATTGATGGGTAATGGATTCAAGAATTGAAGCAAATGTATTGCTATTGGTTCTTCAAATTACAATTTATTTTTGGAAATAATCGATACTGATTCACTGTTCATTTTCTTCCTGAGATTTTTAAGTTTTAATGTAATTGATATGTATGTGACAGATCAGCTTCAGATGGATCAAGGATTGCCCCCTTCCATAAAACAAGTACTATTTCTATGTCACGAACTAATTCTTCACCTGGAAATTTTGATGGCTCGATGGATCGACCTATGAGACTTGCTGAAATATATGTTGCTGCTGAGAATGCTCTCAAGCATACAATTTCTGATGCTGATCTATGGAAATTCTTGTCATCTTTAGAGGAATTTGAGGTATCAAATTGATCCTTTGTACAGATACATCTTTTGCTCCATTCTCTAGTTTTTTTCTCTTTTTGGAGTCTTCCCCCTCTGTTGGATTTCTCATGCCCAAATTTCATTGTTCAACCACCCAAATAATTAATTCCAGTCCTAAAAAGTGTGTAGATTGGACAATTTAAAGATGGATATTTCAATTCCATGGCAATTGAAAGTGCAATTTCAATGGCTTTTTTTTTTTTGGTCAAGTGTTGCTTCTGAAAGAACCCTGGAGTTGTTTTCCATCTACATAAATATCAGCTCTTGCGCCTCATGCTTCTTGAGACTTGCTTGTGCTAGACTAAAATTCAATTTTAATAAGTTTTGGATAGCAGATGAACTTCAAAATTTACAACTTTGGCGGCTTCGTGGGAACTAGTTTGATATTATTATTGATAGAGATAGCATTTGAAATGATTTCGTATATTTTGGAAGGAAATGTTGATGAAGCTAGAAATCTCATTCATGATGTTCTGGGGCTGGTTTCTTATCTGGTTTTGAGCATAAAGAAAAGAAAACTACTGATCCCAACTACTTGATTACTATTATATTGTGATTGAAAGACTCAAATAGCCTAACGAAGCTATCAGGGGCCCTAATTCTTAGACCAAAATGTTCTTTTCGTCATCCTACAGGCCCATAAATCTAGCTTTAGGCTTCCAAAGTAGTATGCTTCTTACTAACCTTGACATGGAAGCATAAAACTCAGTTTGGCATAATTCTCATCTAAATTTTGATAAGTTATTGGTTTTTGACTGAAGCTATTGTTGATAGGTGGTTGTTAATTGTATGGTCTTGTGCATGTTTATTAATTTGAAACTCTGATGGTAAAGTTTATATTTATAGCATGTCTTTCGGCAACAATGTTAGTGATGCCATCCTTTTGGGTATTTGGTGGACCATAAAGAGAAAGGAATTGTTAAGCTTTTGAATATTTAGAAAGTAGTTGTATAAACTTAATTGTTTGGTGATGAGACATTTCACTTGTGATCAACTTTTTGCTGTAACTCTGTGCAATCATAGTAAATATAGTCCATGTATATGTAAGCCCTTTTGGTGTCATTTTCAATGCAAATTTAACTTTATGAAGAAGAGACAGTTCATTCCTGTATGGATGACGGAAAATTGTATTAGTGAATTCGAGTTTTTTTTTTTTTTTCCTACTTCTAATGATATGCCATCAAATTTGAACCAGGTTTCAGATTTTGTGTAGATTCATTTGAGGAGTGATGATTGTAGTTCTCAAGAGATTTAAACTCTTCTAGAATTTGAGTTATTGAGAGCTAGCAATTAGTTGGTATTTGAATTCTCAAATAGATTGGCTTATTATACTTGACTTTTTCTGAATTATTCCGTGCTGTGCTAAATAGGGCTTTCACATCACAGTCTAAACATTTTCCTCAGTGTTTGAATCAGTACCTAGTGATGTTCTTTGTTCTTTATCAAGCTTATATTCTTCATGGCAGCAAAAATATCTTGAGCTTACCAAAGGTGCTGCAGACAATTACCATCAATCCTGGTGGAAAAGACATGGGGTGGTCCTTGATGGTGAAATTGCTGCAGTTTGCTTCAGGCATGGAAACTTTGATCTGGCTGCAAAGTCCTATGAGAAAGTTTGTGCCCTATATTCTGGTGAAGTATGGCAAGAGTTACTGGCCGATGTCCTGCCAAATTTGGCTGAGTGTCAGAAAATGCTGAATGATCAAGCTGGCTACTTATCATCCTGTGTGAGACTGCTGTCTCTAGACAATGTTTTATTCTCAACCAAGGAGCGCCAGGCTTTTCAGGCAGAGGTCGTTCGTCTTGCACACAGTGAGATGAAGGACCCTGTGCCCTTAGATGTCTCATCATTAATTACATTTTCTGGAAATCCTGGACCTGCATTGCAGTTATGTGATGGGGATCCTGGTACTCTCTGTGTAACTGTTTGGAGTGGATTTCCTGATGATATAACTCTTGATTCACTGAGCCTCACTTTGATGGCTACATTTAATGCTGATGAAAGTGCTAAGGTATGTTTTCCTTTGAAATAAATGATTCTCATTTCCATGGAAGTCCATGACAGTTGGTATGTCAATTGTCAAGGCCTACAGCATTCTTTATAACTCAAGAATTTCATATGATATTTCAGGCATTAAGCAGTTCTACTGCCACTGTGCTAAAGCCTGGCAGGAACACAATTACCCTTGCTTTACCCCCACAGAAGCCAGGTTCCTATGTTTTAGGTGTTCTCACTGGGCAAATAGGTCACTTGGGGTTTAGATCACATAATTTTTCCAAGGGCGGCCCAGCCGACACTGATGATTTTATGAGTTATGAAAAGCCAAGTAGGCCTATCTTGAAGGTAATATTTCTCATTATCCACAGACAATAAACCAATAATTTTTGGAAGGAGTATAAAAAATATTGGGATCTATGATGATTTGTACTGAGAGGTGTGGTCTTGCCAATTATATTTTATCACTTTGTTGCTGTAGATGAGCTGGGACTCAACTGGTCATCCATTTTGGCTGATATATGATTTCATCTAATGGAGCCTTCCCTTTCTTAGGTTTTCAAGCCAAGACCTCTGGTTGATCTCACTGCAGCTGTTTCATCTGCTTTGCTTATAAATGAAACTCAGTGGGTTGGGATTATAGTGCAGCCCATTGACTACCCTCTCAAAGGCGCTGTCTTGCATGTTGATACTGGTCCAGGTCTCAAGATTGAAGAGTCACATGTCATTGAGATGGAGGTCTTTGGCAATGTGTCAAAGAGTGCTTCTGATATCGAAAACACATATAGCTCTCAAAAAGATTGTTCTTTGGCAGCTAATAAAGAACTTGAACGATTATGTCTTCATGATGGTAAAATAGACTTTCCAGATTGGGCAAGTGATGTGAATTCTGTTCTTTGGATCCCTATTTGTGCAATCAGTGACACGCTTCCAAAAGGGTCATCTTCAGGTCATAAATTATGAAACTTTTGCTGGTTTCCATATTTGTTTGTTGTGTATGTGCTTGCTTTTCCATCCAATACTTTTTGTGCCTATAATGTATTCTTTGTCATGAACAGGTACACCTCAGACACAGAGCATTGTGGATGGTATGAGAACAATAGCATTGAAACTTGAATTTGGAGCATCTCATAACCAGATATTTGAAAGGCATTGCTCTAATCCATCTCATCCCAGATTATACTACAGATTTGTTTTCTTTGTTCTTCATGTTTTCTTCCTTTTTGTTTCCTTATTTTTTTTTTTTTTGTTCTGTCAGTCAATCTCTATCAGATGTCTTATTAAATCACCTTGCCCTGATATGCAGGACTATAGCTGTGCATTTCACTGACCCTTTCCATGTGAGCACACGTGTTGTAGATAAATGCAATGATGGTATTCTGCTTCTGCAGGTATAACACAAATATTCTAAATTCTTATACTTCATCACCTGCCTAACTTGTATATTCCCAAACAATTGACACATATGACCTTGACTATTTCAGTTGGATTCTCTAGAGCTTGACAGTTCGTATATACCTATGTGATTAGGATTATTATGAATTATCTTTATTGTGATCTTTTCTTTTTATATTCATGTCAATGTTAACGACTACTTCCAGGTTATACTACATTCCCAATTGAAGGCCACTTTGACCATATACGATGCTTGGCTTGAACTTCAAGACGGATTTGTTCATGCTAGACAAGGTGATGGAAGACCAACTTCAAGCTTTTTTCCACATGTGATTTCTCCAATGTCTAGAGGAGGAATCTTGTTCAGTATTTGCTTAGGGAAGATGAGCGGTGAAGGTATGGATAGTTGGTTGCATTAATAAATATGGTGTATTTCTAGTATTTAAAAAAGTCAAAATGTGTCTCTTGGATCAAGAAGGGAATTTCCCATTAAATTCCTAGCCAATTTGTTATAATGATTGGTGATTGCCAATTCTGGGATATGCACGTCTGTTTGATGCACGTAACTACACAAATTCTTGCAATGGGGATTATAGTTTCGAAAGCCTCTGGACTTTATGGCTAGGCCAATTTGGTAATTATCAAAATTGGAAATTGAAGTCTCAATCTTCTAATTTGATATTGATGTGGTCATAGAGGTCTTCAGCTATTTGGAGGGATTAGGAGAATCTAGCTTTAGAAGTTAGGAGGTTGAGAGAGTAACTCCATGCTCCATTTTAATGTACTTAGAAGAAAAGGAACCACAGAGCATTCTAGAAAATGAAAATAATCATTTACATGTCTTCTCTTGCTTTAGCCATGTTTACCTAGGTTCAGAGAGTAACTCCTTGCTCTATTTTAATGTATTTAGAAGAAAGGAACCACAGAACATTCTAACAACTGAAAATACACATTGACATGTTTGCTCTTGCTTTTGCCATGTTCACCTAGATTTTATAGATTTCTACTGTCTCTTTTGCCAAAAATAACTTTTATCTATAAATACCTTATGATAAAATGATTTGTTTTTGTTATTTGGTTGTAGTATTGAAAATCAATTGAGATTGATTTTTGGTGTATGGAGTGAATTGTAAAATGAAACTTTCTTTCAATGAATAAGAAAGAAACTTTGCAATGGTTGGTAGATTAATGGATACGTGCTTTTGCAGTTCTTTTGTGGGTTCTTTGTCTGTCTTTTTCCTTTGACCGAGAAAAAAATATCCTATTGAATAGCTTTTCCTGGTTGGCCAAATAAAGTAAACTTTAGAACTTGTTTTGTGGACAATGTTGTCCATGAAACAAAAGGATGCTAAATCAAGCTTCTTTTCCTCTTACTTGAGGTTACCACTTTTTTACACCTTCCCAGGACATTATCACTTATAAAATGCTTCTGGTTTACAGATGAAGTGGAGGCAAGTCAACCTGAGAGCATATTAAACATCAGATATGGAATTTCCGGTGAGAGAACAATTGGGGCACATCCTCCTGTGGTTGTGGAACCAGATGGGCCTGAGGTTGTCAGGCAGGAGTTGATCTTCAAGAGTGTTCTTATGCTGCAAAGGCCTGTGCTTGACCCATGCCTGGCTGTTGGTTTTCTTTCTCTTCCTTCTGCTGGCCTAAGAGTTGGGCAACTTGTTACCATGAAGTGGAGGATTGAAAGATTGAAGGGGTTTGAAGATGATGAAATTTCTAAACAGAATGTAAGTACTTATGAGCAGTTAAAAGTAAGTTGCAGCTAATTCCTGAATTTTTTAAGGGCCAAATGCATAAATTCCCCCTTATACTCTTTCGAAAAAAACCTTGTGGCACTTTCAACTTTTACTTTGATTTATTGAACACTTTAACTATAAAATTACAAATATTAAACGCTTCATCTTACAAAATTATTTTATTGAATAATCTAGCTTATAAAATTAGATAAACTAAACACTTATTAAATAATTTAAAAAATAAAAGTTATTGTTTAAAAGTTGTATTGACCACACAGCAAATTAATATTTTGCATATAAGAGTTCAAAACCATGAAAATTGTTGTTGATAGTGTAGAGAGGTGTGTAATGTCACCATAATTCATAAATTTGAAGGCACGATAGGACCCTCACAAAGTTTGGGGTGCTGTAAGATATTTTGCAAAAGTTATAGGGTCGGATTTTATGTATTTGGTCTTTTTTTAAGTATCGGCTCATTGCCATGTTTCTTTTCTTTTTTTTCCTTCAAATTTTTCTAACAAAACATATCAACTGCTTTGATTTCCTTAAGCCCAGTTCATCTCATTTATAAAACCAAAAGCTCCCTTGACAAAGCCTGACACCATTTGCTTAGTTGAAAATGGCGTTTATTATGTTTGTCTTATTTTCTTCCTCTTTTCCTCTGTATCAGTGGAAACCAAATTTATTGTCAAGCATATGACAACTTTTTGTTGCCCTTTTTATTCTTGGTTTCCTGGCAATAGTAAGAGTTTGGCAGAATTGGGAGAAAACTTAATATTGTCATTGACCTAGTTTTTTGGGGGATTTTGGTGTTGGGCATTGAAATCTGATGGCAATTCTAATCAAGTTATAAGAATTACTAATTGTTGCCTACTTGCTATTGATAAATTAATAGATCATGTTTGTTTTTCATGGGACAGGGTGAGGTTCTGTATGAAGTCAGTGCAAATTCAGAGAATTGGATGATTGCTGGGCGCAAGAGAGGGCATGTCTCTCTCTCCACCAAGCAAGGTTCCTAAATGACTCTGATTGCATTAATTTATATATCAAGTAGCTGTCAAACCATAAGAAATATCATTTAGTGGCATTATACGTTACCTTATCTTCATTATTACAGGTTCCAGGATAGTCGTCTCAGTACTATGTGTGCCTCTAGTGGCAGGTTATGTTCGCCCTCCTCGACTTGGGCTGCCAAATATTGACGAGTCAAATATAAGTAGCAATCCTCCTGGGCCTCATCTGGTTTGTGTCATGCCTCCTGTTTTGAGCTCCTCCTTTTGCATCCCAGCATAGTTGTTCTTGGCTCTTGTATTCTGACCATCCTAATTTTCCACGAAAAAAAGGTTGGATAGTTTCTTTAATTTGGGAAAGTTACAACTAAAGGGAGAGGATATGCTGAAACATATCCAGTTTTGTTACCTTAAAATCTGTAAATTTGTATGTCTACCATTGTAGAGAATCAAGAGAGGTTAGTTGAGTTCATTGAATTTAGTTGCAGATAGGTAGTTCTTTCTTTTTTTGTTTTTGGAGTGTTGCTGTCTCCTGTATAAGGTCCTTGCTCATGTATAGAAGGAACTCTGTATTCATGTACAACACAGAACTCAAACTGAAAATCAAAATTTTAAAATCGAGATACGTTTTTTCTTTTTTTTTTTTTTTTTGTTCTTGCTCATCGGTATAGAAGGACTCCTGTATTATGTACAACACAGAATCAATGAAAATCAAAATTTTAAAATCTGAGATACGTTTTTTTTTTTTTTTTTTAGTCTAAAAAAAAATTTGGTGCTGGAAGTCCATTGATATCTAATGACTTTTTTTTTACCCGTTTCTGAGACTGGCAAATGGTTCAAATTAAAATAAGAAAAATTCAATAATATGGGAATTTTTTTTGAAAAATAATCAACAATACGGGTATTATTTATATGTATAATATGTAGTTTATCATTATTTGTTAGTTTTGCTATAAGTGTAACTTTAATGCAGTTTATATTACATAGTAATATCTCTAGCATATGAATCCTAAATATATTCTGAAAGAGGCAAATTAAAATAAGTACGGTAGACAGAGATAAATATATTTTAATAAAAAGTTATATACTTTACAATTTCTTATTCTACTCTATTGAATGTGCATCTTTATGAACAAATATATTAATCAGATCTTGAAATAAATAACTAATTAAATCACATACCTTCTATTTTTCTTAGATTAGTTTGAATATATTAAGAAAATAATAAAAGAAAATAATAAATAAAAACTATGGTTTAAACATATTAATTATATCTTCTTACTTTGTATAAAAATTAGAACTAGGTATATTTCCATGGAACAAAAATAGTACCTTCTATTTATAAGATAAATAGGTATTCTCCTTTTCTTAGAATTATTTTATTTGTTTAGCTCAGTCGAGTGATATGTGATTTAATAAGCATAATTAAATAAACAAAATTATTGAATTTAGCAAAACTTGGAAGTAGGATATTATTTTTCTTTTGAGAATGTCAAATAGACTTAATTCATAAAAATAAAAATAAAAATATCTAAATCTCTTACGATTTAAGTTTCAATGTCATAAAGAAACTCATTCCAAATTTGAAAACCAACGAAGAAACATAATATTCTAGCGAAAGCATGAGCGTATCAGTGGCTTGTTTTCAAATCCAAACAATATTGACATTGCTACAACAATCTGCTACGTAGACATCCCATTCTGATAAGTCAGCTGCATCATTGTGCATAGCTCTCCATAGTTATTCTGCACCAACCTCAATCTGAACATTGCTACAACTAGGAGGAGGACAGTTGTTACTTTTTTTCTTTTTTGAAAGGTAAAAAACCAAACTTCAATAGAAATCCAATAATACATATGGAATCGAGTTCTAAAATTTAAAAGCTAGCATGAGAATATGATTTATGCATTTTTCATTTAAAATATAGAAACCAACTCATTTTATTTTAAAACAAGTGCTGGAAGTATATATAGTTGAATAAAATACTATTTTTGGTGACATACATCTTTTCATTTCAAATACTTTTATGTTGTTATTTTGAGTAAAACATTTTTCCTTGAAAAAAAAAATTGAGTAAAACATAATGTCATAATTAAATAACAGAAAAAGGTCCCACCGAGATTTGAACTCGGGTTACTGGATTCAGAGTCCAATGTCCTAACCGCTAGACCATGGGACCTTGGCGATTATTCTCTCTAGCTGTTAATTATAATAGGAATATTCACACATGACAGTTTTTATTTTTAACTCGCCTGATCCTGTTTTTCTTTTCTTTTCTTTTTTTTTTTTTTTTTATAACTCGCCTGATCCTGTTATTTTCTTTTCTTTTCGTTTTTTTTTTTTTTTTGTAATATTCTCACCCCAATTCCTATTATTTTCTTTTGTTTTTTTTTTTTTTTTTAATATCTCACCCAATCCTATTAAAGCGAATAAATTCACTCTAATTAAATGTACATTGAAGAGTAATTGAATAGAATTACTCTTATAAATTGATTATCTAGCTAATTATTTTTAAATGATAATATAATATTTATTGAATATGCATATTATATGAATTCTACAATTTTTTTTATCATATTGTAAGTTGACCCAATATATGATGCAATTTATTTAAAACTAAATTCTAAACAGAAAAATAAAAAGTAGAATCATTAATTTTAATAGTAAAGTTTCTTTTATTATATGAGATTTTGGCTTAATACTTGAGTTAGTAGTCATTGATAGAAATAATTGAAATGATTCCTTATTTAATTGTTAGTTGTAAGTATATAAATTAAATATAAATACATCACAACAAATTAATCTTATCAAATTAAATATTTGTGTTAATCTAGCTAATAATTAATCCATAAATGGTGGGCATGTTCATGAAATTTATAATTGCAGGGCACTATGCTATGTTCTATCAGATTTAATTGAATGGATACTATGACTAATTCAACGGATTTGAGATGCTGATTACCTATCGATTTCCATCATAACTACTCCTAACTCAAAATTAGGTTACGTATTTATTGTTACAAAGTGAAATAGAAGAAGAAAGAAACGACAATATTTTTATAACGAGAAAATAATAAATTATTGAAAGGGAGCGTTTTTTTATAAAGAGTAGCTATGATTGTCCATTCAATAATTGTAATTAGTTAAAAATCAGTTATTATTTGGTTAGGAATCGGTTAGAATTGTCAATTATAGCTATAAAGAGTAAACCTCAGTATGTTGTAAACATTTTCCGATTTTATTCATCTTAATAAGAATTCTCTCTTCGCTCTCTTTACTTCCTCGATCTTTATTCTTAATTTCCAAATCTTATCATAAACTTCATATCTTGAAAGATGAGATCATCTTATTGTTTCTTTAATTTCTTTAAAAATATAAATATTATCTTTTACTGCCTAAATCTTTAAAATTTTAAATTTCTTCTAATAAGATTAATAAAGTTTAAATTTATAAAAAACTTATAATGAATTCATAAACAATTTGAACATAAACTATTATACCGTTTAAAAGCTTCGTGCTAATTTAATTTTTTATAAATAATAGTGATTTAAAATGTTTAGAATGGATTTTTTTTAATCCTCCTGATATAAGTTGAGGAAAAGGAAGAATTATATGAATTTTAAGATATGAATTAGTGTCGTTTTAATTTCTTCCAATGTCTCAAGATGTTTAAAGATAAATTTTCATGGGTCTAATTTATAATCAAGTTGGGCAAATATAGCATGATAACATAAAATTAGTTATTTTGATCATTCAAAATTCATTTTTCATAAATTTTTTAAATAAGAAAAACCATACAAAAACTTTGGCTAAACAATAATTAAATCACTTAAATATACTCTCTTTGGCTATAAATATAAGTACTTTTAAGATTTTTTTTTTTCGTCCACAAATATAAGTTATCTTAACAATGTCAAAAAATAATTAATCATGAACTCTCCATTATATTTATCATAATTAGTTGTTATCATTTAAGTAACTTTTTAATTGTAACAATTAATTTTTTTTCCAATATCTCAGTACATTTAAAAATAAAATTTCATTAATGTAATATAATAATAATTTGAGTATATATAGCATAATATATAAATTAGTTACAACATGCAACATTGGCAATTTTTATCATTCAAAATTCATTGTTTTATACGGGAAAATCATACAAATTTTGGTTACTAAATTCTGAAAACTTTGTCTTTTCACTCAAATACATTTCAATGCGATTGAGGGAAACTGGAGCCGAAGGATTTCCCCATAGCTTTCTAATCCTCCTAAGATATCAACAGGTCTAACAGGAAAAGAAAGGAAATGTGCTGCTGCAATTTTACATGGTCGTGAAATCTAACATCAAGTGTAATCATTTAATCTATATTTAATTGCACAACCCAGTTCAACAAGAAGATGAAGATATGAAAAAAAAAAATCAGTTTACTAACAATTTAATTGCAGAAAATTTGCAGCTCCCCAACTAACTAACTAGTCATTTCCAATGCTCAAGGCTCAAGCACAGTTCCAAGCTTTCATTTCCTTAATAAATGGGTTTAAGACAGTGACTATGCAACTACTTTCCCTTCTTATCATCTCAACTTCCAACACTCTCCACAGAATTTCATCTCTGAGAAATGTCATTGTTCTTTCAATTGCAAATCACATGACAATTGGTTTCAAGATTTTGATTTTGATAAACAATATCAATTGATAGTACTTAATTTTGTTAAACATTTACTTCTTTTTTTTTTAATATAGTAAAATTACTTCTTTTAACAATTCAATTATCTTAAACTAATAACCCAAATAATTAATTATTAAATAATTAATATAGAAAATATATTATAATTTGATATTCTATTTTTAGATTAAATAAAAATATTAATAAGTAAAAAAAAAAAGAGGGGGAAAAGACAAAATCTAAGAGAATTTTAGCATTTTTCTGAAAATTTTAAAACAAGTGTCAGGCTTATATTTCAGTAAAGCATCTGGTATGTTCCCTTGTGGACCAACATCAAAATTAAATTTGGGGAAGAATTAGAAATTAAGTTTTGCTTTTGGAAGAGAAGCACATGCTGCATATGAATTCAGAATAATAACTATAAACTCTACACATGCTGCAATTAAATTGCTTCATTATATTTACCTAATAAATAATATAATTGATAAGAAAAAGATATATGTATCCAGCACCTAACCTGGACCACCAATCAATCTTTTTTTTTTTTTTTTTTTTTAGCCTAACCTGGACCACCCAATGCAATCTTTTTTTTTTTTTTTTGGGCCTTTGCTGGACAAGGGAATTTTTAAGATTTTTTTTCTTTTTTTTTTTTTTTTTTGCTTTGCTGGACAGAATTTTTAAGATTTTTTTGGGATGAAAATGAAATTATCCAATTATAATGAACCAACCATATGCCCATTCTGCCTTGGAAAAATTGGACAATTTTTGCATTTGTCCACTTGGTATTGAGATTTCTCCCTTGTGTATTTGAACTAGAAAGTGAGGCACATCCACCACTAACATAAAGTGAGTGATAGAGAAACTTGCAATTCTTACACTTGACATTTTTCCTATGTGGGTCAGAATTTAGATCTAATTTTTATGAGGACAAAGGTAATTTACAATAAATAGAGGGAATTTTCAATAAAATATTGGGAAATAATCTAATATTCAAGTATTTATTTTATAGTATATGATATCAAAGTATATTATTCATATAATGTTTTGCTAACTTTTAATCCATGAATCTGAAGTTTTGGTTGATGGTAAGTGAACTCCGGAACTTGGAAATTTTGATCATATTTAATTTCAAAAAATAAAAAACTTCCCGAGAACGCAAGGGAAGTTAATTCCTCTTCTCAATCCAAGGAAGTGCACTTCCCTGACCTTTAGAAATTTGGCAATATCCATTTTGCCCCTATTCGGTGCTATTATTGCAACAACTGAAAGCTACAAAAAGCTTGTGGAAGTTTGGTATTTTTGGCTTAAGATAAATTGGATGCATGCAAATATGATATACATATTGTTTGATGTGTGCACTTTAAATGATATCTATGCTTGTGGAAACAATTTGACCTCTTAACAGCTCTGAAAATTAATTTCATTAATTAATTTACTAAAATATTCTACAAACACAATATTTTCTAATTACGATAATATTTTGTCCTATTATTATTATGACTTATATGAATTATAGTAAATCAGGTGGTGGTCTAATTGGTCTTCTCATTTATATGAGAAGTGAGAAGTCTCGAGTTTGAATTCTATCGACCACAGTTGTTTTCATCAATATATATAAAAAAGGTCCTTCAGAGTTTTTTTTTTTTTCACTTGTTATAGTTAAATTAATTTTTTTAATTATTATACTTAAATTTATAGTAGAAGTATTATCGTCATTTCATGTATAAAAATTCATTAACTTTCATTTCTCGTGAATTCAATACATCAACCAAACATATTCACACTAACTTCCTTGAAACTTCAAAAGTGAACTTCCGAAAGATGAATTTGAAGATTATTAAAAATATTTGTTGTCAATATTATCCAAAATAATGTGTGTTGTTTTTATTTTTCAATGTCGACTGCAACACTGACAAACCTGAGCTCTATATATTAGGAGCATGTTTCTGTATTTGGTGAGTTTCCATTTTAATTGTATTGTGCAGCTTTTTCTCAGTAAAAATCCCAATAAGTTGGTGTAATAACACCAAGAATTTAAAATCCAACCTAACTCCTCAGATTACCATTACCATTTCATGTTTCACTATCAAAGATCAAAGATTGTGACTTCACAACAAACCCCCATTTCAGTTCTTACCTCCCTCACTATCCACCAATATGGCATCCCACCAAATATATCACTATCTGTCTCAAAACACTATTCATCTTTTCAGCCAGGCAAACTCACATGAATTGGAAAAATTAAAAGTGGGTAGCTAGCTTGCTAGTGTAATTTCAAGAATCACATTGGCAGTAACTGTCATTTTTTTTAATAATTAGGACGACTAAAATTTATCGTTGGTAAAATTTAAATTTTGGTGACTTGTTACGTTTCGCTTTTTATATTAAAAAGGAAATAATGTCATAATATCAATAATCCATTGTATGAAAGAAAAAGAAAAAGAAAAGTAAGCCTTAACTAATTAGTTTGTTGTAGTATGTTACTTTTTTTAAAAAGAACCTGGAATTTAATCAACTAGCAATATTCATTGAAGTCTTTCTAGAAAGTAAGGGCTAGAATGTTTGCTTTTTGAATCAAAAGTAATTCTGCTACCAACTAATCCTTTTTCTTGTTTTTCACTTTTAGATTCCGTTTATTTTTGTAAAATAACTTATAGAAAAATAATTAAATTCGATTTATTTTTATAAAATAATTTGTAGAAAAATAATTTTTTGAAAAATGACTTATTTTTCGTTGTTTTGGATGTAATATTGAAAATTAATTAAAAATATTAAAGTTTTTATCATAAGATCTTAAAAAATATTAATAATAATAAAAATTTTATAAAAAATTTTATAATTTAAAATTTTTATTGTTATATTATGAAAAGGAATGCAAAAAAAAAAAAATATAAATTTTTTAAGCTGCAATAGTCCATGTGGTAATGATGCTATTAATAAAGATTAAAGAGAAATAGATATTTGTAAAGTTTGCTAAAATTTTATAATTTAAAATTTTTATTGTTATATATGAAAAGAATGCAAAAAAAAAAAATATAAATTTTTAAAGCTGCAATAGTCCAGTGGTAATGATGATTAATAAATTAAAAAAAATAGATTTATAAAGTTTGCTAATATCCGAAAAATGTTTTACTCTCTCAAGAATGAGAAATTGTTTACTTAAAAAAATGACTTAATTTTCCTTTGATCATAAAAATATTTTCCATTGACTTATTTTCCTGAATGCCCCAAACAACGGAAAATTTGTAAAAATTATTTTTCTGCAAATTATTTTACAGAAACAATCGAAGCCTAAATCTCACCATATTTTATCAACACAACAAAAATTCTATTCAAATACTTTTTTTTTTCCACTCTTCCTAAATCTCATCATGCTCAAATCAATTAAAAAACTCTCTTAATACATCAACAAAATGTTAATTGAAACAATAAATAACCTCAATTCTCATAAGAACACGATCAATTATTGAGAAACACACTTTACGATAAGAGTTTATAGTATCTATTGACATAATATATTCATTAACAAATCGAGCTAAAACTCATAACATCATGTAAAATTTAGATGATCAGGCCATCAATATTTGATTGATAACCATATATGATATATTACATCAAATGCAGCATGTAAAACATCTGGATCGGCTTCGTCTCTCCAGATATATGAAAGTAAACTCATAGTTAACTATCTCATGTATATATACTTCTATATAATTCTTTTCTATTCTTCTTCACTCTCTTTTTTTTTTAAATCATTTACCTTCTAATTTTAATTAGCAACTATAACATGTATCATTATTGATTAATCACATCATTATCAGCATCTCCAATCCAGCCTAACCTCACTCAGCCCAAAAACATGCTGATTAGGCTTCCGAAACGACACAATGCGGCTGCTCACCATGAACGCTGTTACTCGCTCCGAAACACTAATATCTTCCATTTTCAACTCTTGAAGTCGCCGGACGTATTCCTGCACATGTACTATATCCCACACCACTCCGATGCCGCCTGGTTTTAAAACCCTCACCATTTCACCCAAAACCCTCATTCTCTCGGCGGCTGCCTCCACCGTTCGATGACCATACTCTTTTCCTACTGTGTGAAAAAAGACAGCTGATACTACCACATCAAAATAGTTATCCCCAAATGGCAAGCTCCTCACATCGCCTTCCCTACATGTCACATACTCTCCTACCCCTGTTTTTAAAAAATTAATTACATGTTAACTGGGGTTGAAAATATATAAAATTTCAGAAATTTTGAAATTTGATGATAGGAAGTGCAAATTTATCAATAAATTAAATAAAAAAACGGTTTCATAATAAAAAAAATTGAAATTATTCTATTGACTGAGCGACACCTACCTTCCAAGTTAGCGGTTCGCAGAGTAGACAGAGTAGTCCTTTTAGACCGGTCCAACCCGACAACCCGACCAGAGCTTCCAGTTTTTTTCAACTGAGTAGCCACCGCATTCAACAAAATCCCACGGCCACACCCAATATCAAGAGCCAATTTAACAGATGACCAATCGTTAACGTAACTCACCATCCTCTGCGCCATATCATGATGCAACGCAACCGAACTGTAAAAGAAGTTGCCGGCGGCGAAGAAAAGGCACACGGCGGACAAAGCTGTAACGCAACCAGTGAATCCGGCGGCGAAACGGGCGGCGCTACTGGTACTAGGACTGGTAGCGAAAAGAAGAATAGCAGACTCTAATAGTCTGCAGATTGGATCGAAGTAGAAGAGGAAGAGGATTGATAATATGGAGAAGAAAATGGCATGGAATAACAGGAAGAGTAAGGTTTGCCATTGATCCATGCCGTAAATTGCATAGATCTGTGTCCAATCTCTGTTTGTTGATGTTGTTTTACCCATTTTGTTTCTGTTGTACTGGTGGAGATGAGGTTTTACAGTAAGCGACATTGGTAGAGAGATTAGAGTATCAACCTGTAAAGCAGTTTACAAGAAAAGGTATTTAAAGGAATAAATCTTATATACAAGATGAAACAATCAGAGCAAAAATTAGAGAGTGTATTTAGTTTGAGAATAACAGAAACGGAAGGAAGAAGAAATTAAGATTTTATGAAGATATGCAATGAAAATTGATCACAAGGAAAAATTGCATTTAGGTAATGTAGAATCATTTGGCACACTTTAAGTTGAGAAATTCACTTACCGAAAACAGAACAGCAGAAGCTTTAAAAAAACAGAGCAAATTAGGTACTAAAAATTTCTTCCACTGGTAGCTTTTTCCTTCTTTTTCTAGGCAACCAAACAGAACCCAGAAAAGCAAAAACTCAGATTCTTCCACTAACAGTGACAAAATGTCAGTGCCGCTTCAGAACAATCAGATCCATCGATTGACTGCATAAACACATAATTTTCTGTCTTTCCCAAAACGGCAAAAGAGATAAAACCCAAAATTAAAGATCACAAAAACCAGAGCTTCAGTACCCGTACCAGTACCAGAAGATATTTTTCCCTCCGCTCTGTTCTAAAATCAAATGACTAATAAGCAGAGATAAAATCAGTGTAATGAATCTGCAAATGTCAGGTTTGTTACTGAAGATAACAATGATATCATCACCATCTTACTGCCAGTGTGCTAGCACTATAAACGCGTTTTGGATTCGTCGTTTTGTGTCTTTCTTTATTCCCAGTTTAAAAGGGAAATGAGTCTTCAAATTTGAGCTCCTTTCCTGCTAAAAAAAAAAGGAAAAAAAAAAATCCTCACTGGTTTTAGTGTGGTAGATGTGTACGGACTTAGATGGAGGGAGGGGGCGAGAGGATGATTTGTGCGTGCGATTATGGTATGTATAGAGAAGAGTAGGAAGGGCAAAATGGGAATAAAAAATAAGTCTGTGATTTGGTACCAAAATTTTTCTAATTTTGTGATCTTGTACCGGCTTGCATGACCTGACCTAATCTAATTGGCTCCTAAGTTGACTTTTTTCTTTTTACCCTTTTCTACCTAGGTTGAAATGTCGGTACGTTAGTGGTTAAAATAATTAATTTTTACTAATGTATTTACCACATAAAAATAGATTTTGTACGCTTAATATTTGTGGTAAATTTAAATTTTCATTTTATTTATAGGAGATCTAACGCTTAATTTGCAAGCATAGACATAATGATGTGTCCTTTTTTATCAATACATTGATATTTTTTTTTTTTTTGGCATATTTAATTTGTTATTTATGTGATTTCTTTCTTGAAATTAAATTAAGTTTGATAAATTTTTAATTTTTAATTATCTAAAAAATATTAAGCTCAATAGTCTTTTTACTTGTAAATAGCTTATAATGTTAGGAAGTTTGGCTTATCAAACAGAAAAATAGTAAAGATGGCCTAGTCAATCTTAGATGAGACAATGTAGCAGCGTTTACATAAAAATAAACAGATTTTTTTTTTCAGAAAAAAATAAATACGGACTTAAAGTAAAGATGAAGATTTGTATAATCAAATTATTTGAAATTAAGTATTTATTAGTTATTTTAAATTATCTTTATCTCTATTTCTTTGGTACGTCAAACCATTATACAATACAAAATAATTATTACATTTGAATTTGATGTATTTATTAGCTGGGTATTAACAATATGAATAGTGGAATAACGGTAAAAATACAAAATATTAGCAACGGAAAAATTACCATCGTGCTTTCCAGTTGGGATTTGAAAGTAAGGATTATTATGAACGATTTTTTAACAGTAGCATAGAAAGAGAATTGTTATTATTTGAAATATTGCTAACTAATAATTTCATAAGATAAGACCTTTTTCTTTTCGTTCCATTATTTTCGATAATATTAGCGTCTAATTATTTTTTTCCTTTTAAAATAATTTAATATTTAAAATTTATTAACCCAATTAAAATTAGATTTAAGCCGTATCCATAAAAATTAAAAATTAAAAACTAATCATATTTATTACTTAATTTAATTCATGATTGAATAAAATTATTATGGTTACTTAGTTACTGTGAAAGTAAAAATTGGAGATGAATGAAATTGTTTATATTTTGTTTAATATTAATAATGATATCTGTCTTTCTTATGATTGAATGTATTACTTGAGATTAAAACAAAATAGCAACCGGAAGATCCAAATGAGAATGGAAGTGGTTTTGTAATTTGATGGTTAGTATTTGGTTTCCGCCAATCAAGGGAAATGGGGATTAAATCAAGACCGTACAAGAAGGGTCGTGGAGATTGATGAATGGAAAATTAGAGAAGCTTGTAATTAAAATCTTGACCAATCTGTAACTATAACTATAATCAGTACCTTTTGCTCTACGCCCAACCCGTTTGTCCCCTTTTCTTATTACAACTTCAGTTTAACGCTGCCAGGTGGACTTGTTTTTCTTTAGCTGTATGCCGGTAACGTTTCCTAATTTCTAATGATTAATGACTAAACTAACCCCATAATTTTGCTTTGGCTTTTTATATCAAATCAAATAATGGTAGCGAGCGCCCCCATTAGATTCTCACATAGATTAGACAGCCTTTTGGCGCACAAAGCTTGTTAATCGAAATGACAAGCTTGCCCCATTCTCAAATCAAATGTAAACAAAATTTTTTATTGACTAATGCTCCATTTTTTATATATTTATACAAAATGAGGATGGATAGTTTTGTTATAAAATTTTAGGTTGTTTATATTTATAGATTTTATTTGGAAATTTCATAATTTTTTTGTAGAATTTGATTTAGTTATATTTAAATAATATGAAATTGAATATTTATCTTTTATATCAAAAATAAAAATTTAGATTTATAAATGAATTCTATAAAATTTGTGACATTTATTTATTATAAATTACGAGTAAATAAAAGAAAAAATAAAGTGGAACGAATAATGATAAAATAAAAACTTTCAAACAATCATTGCTATTTTGGTCCTTTCAACAACTTTAAAAATAGAGTTTAATGTGATTTTGTGTTTTAACTTAGTATTTATAGTGTTCCATAACATAATGTTTATATTAGTAATATTTAGAGATTGAAGGAGAGTATTACGAAACTTTATTTCTTTCGACGTTTTATGAAATCTAGTAAAACAATTAAAATCTACTAGGATAATATAATTACTAAAATATTCTTTGTACTTCAAAATATAAATCGTTTTTGGTTTGTTATTTTGTCTCAAAATATATGTCGTTTTGTGTATTTTAAGAAGTAATAAATGATGTTTTTTCAATAATGTCATTGTTTACATTAAATCTAATAAATAATTCACAAACAATTATTGATTGTGAGATAAATGATAATTTAGTCAAATTATCATTGAATTTATTATAATATAGGAGAATTAATTATTTCCTTAATTCTTGTATAAAAATTTTAAACGACTCATATTTTAGAACAGAAGGAGTAACTAATTGTGAAACATGATTACTGTAAGCATCGATAAAAACTTTTTATTAAAAAATTTAAAAACTATGTCATCGTCATCCTAATAATTTTTGAAACTATCAATACTATCTTTAATTTTTTAACAGGTTATATTATTCTACTAGGTAATTGATAATTTGGCTCCGGTAGTTTTTACTTTGGTCATATCACAAGACATTGGGGTATTGTTGGTAATGCAAACCAAGGACAATATGGTCCTAATAGATAGAAGGAAGGAATTTTGAAGAAAAAGATAAGATTGGATGAGACGAGACTCCAAGTCAGAGCAAATTAAATAAAAGTGGGCCCTTAAATAGACAAACCAAAGTAAAAATGGGGCCCAATAAAAAATGAGAAGAACGCGGGAATGACAGGAAGGCACGAACTATTCCTTCCCACTTTTCCTTTGACGATTTGCTCAAAGTAAGATATCACCGACTTGTAAGAACGTTACAAACTGCAAACTGATTAAAACAATAAAATAATAATCTTTCCTTAATTACAATTAATTAAATAAATAAAACGTTGCGAATTGGTCTTCTTTTCTTGTTTTTGTTTCCATAATCGTCATGCTTAATTTCCAGAATAAGCCTGCAGATTAATTAATAAGATTGTAATTGATATTTAGAGAGTGGTAAAAAAGATTTGAATTCTGAAACTTTCAATTTAAAATATAAAAAGATTAATCAGATCATATAAAAATATGTGATTTAATATCATGATATATTATTATTATTAATAATTATAAATAATCCAACCTTATGCTTGGTTGGATAGACAAGATGAGCTTTTGTATTGGTGCCGGTCAATCTGTATGGCGTCGAAGATATTAGCAATGGAAAATTGTAGAATAATATTTAATGCTCAATTTTTTTTTTTTTTTTTTTTAGATCATATAAAATAGTGATTTAATATCCATGATATATTATTATTATTAACTAATTATAAATAATACCAACCTTATGCTTGGTTGGATAGACAAGATGACTTTTGCTATATGGTGCCGGTTCAATCCTGTATGGCGTCGAAAGATATTAGCAAATGGAAAATTGTAGAATAATATTTTAATGCTCAATTTTTTTTTTTTTTTTTTTGTGTAATCTTAATGCTCAATCAAAAAGGATAATATTTTCTTTTTTATAAATTTCTAAATTTCAACTTGAATACTTTATTTTAACTAGATTAAAAAAATATCATATATATTCAGAATGTGTAAAATTTTTTTTTTTTTTTTTTTTGTGTAATTTAATGCTCAATCAAAAGGATAATATTTTCTTTTTTATAAATTTCTAATTTCAACTTGAATACTTTATTTTAACTAGATTAAAAAAATATATATATATTAGATGTGTAAATTGGTAATTTGCTGGAGTAGCACTCGGTCAACCTATGGCGTTGAAAATTTCAGTACGGAATTAGTGGTAAGGAGGATTTTATTGGTACTCTCTCTTACGTGTGTTACAAGTGAAATGGTCCCGCACACACACCATTTTAATCCCAAGCAGTTTATTGCTAGTTCAAGTAAATTCATTAATGTACTTTGGTAGAAGGCTTCTTTAGGGGAAAAAGTCACAAAGAAATCGTCATAGTTGTATTATCTTTTTATATGAAAATTCAAATATTGTAAATGAGCCAAATCGTTCATGAGACTTAATTTTAAAGATTGTAATAATTTTTTTTTTTGGATAATAAATTTTTACCAATGTTTTTTTTTTTTTTTACCAATGTTTTGCTAATATATATAGATAGTAGGAATAGGGTTGCTAAACATTTATCAACTTCTAATTGCTAAATGTAGCAATTAGCTAGAGGATCATATCAAATACACATAAGGATAGTAATAAAACTTAATTAGGATGTGATTTTCAATCCCAATCTTTAGCAACAAATTAATAGGAAAAAGCTAAACCTAATTACTTAATTACCTAAACCATTAATTCCATTTATAGTATGTTTTAATTAGAAAACATATGGACTTACCAACTTTCACTAAACATTTTTCAATTGCTAACTAATTTTAAGAACTAGAGAGAAGAAAATAAACATATATGGCAAAGACTGAATGCAACAATCTAATACCTATTATAATGTTATTATTAGGAATATATATGTATTGTAGTAGCTAGGGCAAGAAAAGGAATAAAGAGGTAGGTATACTAGACTAATATATGTTGCAATAATGCAACCAAAGATGGGCACATTTGCTATTGCATGTAGTGATAATAATACTTATTTTTTCAAGATGTGGATGTTGTGCTATGTAGCTTTATGGAGGTCACATTAAGTTCACTAATTTCAAAATGGCATAAATTCAATTTTTGAAATGTTTGTGGCATTCTTTATTTTTATTTTGACTTGTTGAACCATTCTAACTTATAAAATTATATATGTTAAATATT